TATTCTATGATATCAGATTCTTCTTCTCAGTCACACCAGGGTGGGTTCCTCTCTTACTTTCAGATTTTGGTAGTGCATTTTGTGACTCACAAAAGGAGTCCACCAGTGACTTACTAACCACCTACAGTGTTTTTATTTTCGTTTCGTTTCCTACGTACCGTAGTCCATTTTTCACTCCTCATAACACTGGGACTATTGGGAACGGTGACTGTTTTATCCAGATCTTCGGTTCCCACTAAGGTGCATTATTAACAATGTCAGTACCAGGTGGTACTACTCCCCCTGTTAATGTCAACGATGATTTCACTTTTGCGTCGGTCAAACTCGGTTGTTTGAGGCATCGCGTAACAGCAGGTACTACACTGACACATTCGTCACTGTCAGTGCCCGTGTTGTCAGCGTATATGCCATCATTCTTCTTATAGGTCAAAGCCAATAGGCTCATAGCCTCCTGTATTAGTAACGTCTTATCTGCACAGCGAAGCATGCAAAGCCCATGTGAGTTAGGCTTCGAACATCTTTTGTATGCAGTAGGACTTAAACGGGTGCACATTTTGTAGAATCACTTATTGCATTCATCACAGTGCATTCCCTCCTCCACAGGGAACAAACAGTTTGGGTGTCCACATTTGGGAGTACTAACAACCATTTTAGTCTGATCAAGGTGTAGTACACAATATGATCACAGTATGAACACAAATGTCAGCCAACGAACAAAAGGTTACCACAAGACAAACTAAAGCATGATTTCAAACCTTAGCTAAAGTACTTTGATATAGACCAAGAATGCTTTCGAATGTAATAAATACACAAAAGCCAAAAAACTCAATAGAATATCACTTTAACTGTAGTAGATTCAATTAAAGTGTAAATCGTAGTTTTGATACGTAATTTACGATCAAAACAGTTAACTAATTCAACGAGAAACAATACCACTGTCATTTTTAGATAGCGCGCGTCCATCGACGTCAGAAGTTTCATAGCTGTGCCCTCAGAGCAAATTTCTGAAGAAGAAAAAAAGCGAAACAGAAGAGCAGCAAGGCACTTGGATATGAACGCTAAACGTTGCTTAACATTGTGTAGTAGAACGGACAGAGGTATAATAAATTAGAATAAATTCATATTATCTCTTGTTAGAGAGAAATGAAGTCAGAGGCTCCATATTATAGAATGTAGTAATAAAGAACAATGAGTTTTGTCATTTAACAAGTTGGAGTAAGCTCACATGAAGGAAAGGAAGTCAAGGCTGGTACAAGGAAAGCGGTTTATTAGAAGAGAGTGTGCATATAGAGGGTGAAGTGTTAAGAATACTAATGACTATATCTTTTGCTGTCTATTTTTTTCCTTTTTTTTGTCTATCCGATGCCAGCTGCACAGTCCTAGTGTAAAAGTCCGAGTTAGCATGTTATAGGTTGTCTTAGAAGAATAGCCAATCCAGCATAGTATTGGAAACGTGAGTCTGAGTGGTGAGCGTAGGAAAACAATCATAAAGGGCCTGATACATTAAAAATGTTCTGCCCCCACAAACACGGCTGGATTGAAGTCATCGCCCTCGCCATCAATGCTTGCTGGTCAGTAACTCCACCCTCCCTCCTTTTGTGATGTTAGGCTCACTTAAGCTTATTTTTGTATATATGTCATACCTCACACAATCCTCTGTGTTTCAGATCCTGTTGGAAAGCACTATTTTTATAAGTATCATTTTACAAGCTTATCAGGCAGTTACAAGCTATGGACTGTGGGTAAAGCATCGATGCAGTGCCTCTGTTGACTATAGTATAAAGTATAGTTTGCCAATCAGAGTATAAGCGTTAAGAAGGGTATATTGTAGGATAGTTGTTTATTTAAGCAGGCGGGAAAAGTATAGAAGTATGAGTTGTGGATAAGGTAACGAGTGGAGAAATAATATTAATTGCTAGTCAACATAGTGTACAGAAGAGTAAAAAGTTAATACAGGATAAACAGGAAGGAACTCACAGTAACTTGGTGCTGATTTTATTTTCTGTTGTCTTAACCAGTTGATTGGTAACAGGCTCCATAGATGCAAGACCACTGGTAGTAGGCAGTCGATTGTGCGGTCCTCTTGACTTTCTGAGGGTGGTAGTGAGTGTCCCTTAGCGACCGAGTTTAGTTGAACAGTATCGATAGGTCCAACGAGTTACCTATCTACTTCAAGTGAAGAAGTAGGGTGGAAAAATGGACTAATACAACTGCAAAGCAGGAAAAATAAGGCAAACTGAACTTGAAGTCCATTTTGGTCTAGACATGGAGAGAGCCTATGATGTCTGAGTGGGGCGTAGATGTGTTCGTACGTGCAAGATCAGTGCAAGTGAGGGCTTGATCAAGCAGTTTTACAAACGTATGTAATTCATCTGCCATGCGAATTTCCTTAAGTGTGGAGAATGCTTTCTTCACGCTGTCGTTTAAATTGGTGATTTGTTCATTTCTACCAAGGTGGTCCGTTAGACGTCCCATGACATACATAACATTCATAAACCGTCGATAGAAACCTACCAGGCCATCGAACGTACGAAATTGCTTGGCTACCGTCGGTTCTTGGTAAGCCAAAATGGCTGCCGTTTTAATTTTCAGGGGCGGATGCCCTGAATATCAGTAGCGTGTCTAAGAAAATATAGGTAGTCGTTGCCAACTTGACATTTCTGAGTGTCCACAGTAATGCTGTCCTTTGCAGTCGTTCAGAAACAAGGTCCAAGTGTTGAAGATGAGATCCTCTGTTCAGACGTGCAATAGTGTACTCATCTATGTATGCATATACGAGATTGAGACCTGAAAAGTTTGTGCGGCATTTCTCAAACCGAAAGGTATGCACAAATATTTGTAGAGTCTGAAGGAGGTGACGATAGCGATTTTGGGAATGTAGTTAGCAGCCATGGTAATTTTCTTATACGCTTTAACCAGGTCGGTTTTCGAAAAGACAGTTGCATCTTTTAAGGTAGCCTTCAAATCGTGCATGTGAAGCAACTGGTACCGATCAGGAATGGTTTTCGCATCCAGTTACCGAGAGTCATCGATCGGACGCCAATCGTTGCTGTCCATTTTACGGACCATTGTAAGGGAGATGCCCATGAGCCGTTCAATGGCCGACTGGTTCCCAAGTTTTTCATATGGTGGAACTCGACTTTGGCTAACCTTAGCTTTTCGGGAGCTATTCGGTGCGACTTCGCGAATACAAGTGTTCATGTAGTCGTGATTTGGTATATAACATCGCTGGTTACGAGATGGCGAACTTTCGTCATCACATCAGTTGTGTACAAAAGCGGCTATTTTTACTCTCCACCGTTGCCGTTGACGCGTGCCGGCCGGGAAGTTTATCGAAGATTTTTCCGTGGTGGATGGTTCAGAGCTTGGAAAAATCCAGAGTTTTGTGCAATTTCGAGAAGACTTACCATACTTATTGTGTTTCTGACACTCTTTAGGATTATCTGCTTCTCTCGATCTAGAGGCAGATCTTTTTCGTGACGAGCTTCTTTGTGGAGCTTAGCAGTGACTGCTGTTTCAGCAGGCCTTCATCAAATGTCCGTTGACCAACAGCCTGTCATTCGTAGCAACATTTCTGTTGCTGAGTAATGTTGTGGAAGAGTTGGTCTCAACTTTGTCGTTCGGCTAGCTATCCACATTCAGGGATAGTTTTTTAAAGTTTCGGAAGGTTCCGAAACATCACTAGTAAACATACCAGTTGAGATCACACGGTAGTACCTTCTCTACTGCGGTAAGTTGTGTACGTGGATCGGTCACGCCGTGCTCGTGGAAGCCAGCCTCTGCATAGCAGAACCAGGCTTTGATGTTGTCGGGCCATGATTGCATCAACAAAAAATGTGGGAGGCGAAAGGGTCTTAATCTCACATAACTTAGGAGTCTATTCCGTCATGATGAATACTAGCATAACGTTGCACGAGAAAAGATATCCGAAAATATGAAAACAATATCACAATATGTGAAAATAAAAATTACTAAGTGATATACAATGTTTCAACAGGGAACAGATACACAGTCCACAGTTTGGTGTACCAGATAACGGCGAGCTCACTACAGAATTCGGAGTTTGAAAACACCTTTACACCTAACACCTTCGTAATTGGAGGATACCGACCCAGTCAAATTAGAAGACAGAAATGAAGGGGTTCGAAGTTATGTCTGTAAAGCTATCGAAATATCAAGGAGCATTTGTTCTAATCTGGATAACAGTTGTAAGAGATGCATAGCACGACGTACCCATTCGTGATCTGGTGCAGATACGTGACCGAGAGCCCTCATATAGATTTGTGCATTAAAACTAATGGGATCAAAATCAAAAATGTCGAAGACGTACAGAGCTACTGATTTTGTGGGTTTATTTACCACTACCATTTTGCATCTGATTATGAGCTATAAGAATTCTTTAAAGCGGCGGAAAACGTGTTCAATGGAAAAACATTATAGACAACAATTATAGGGGAGAATTGGCTGTAGCATATATCATACAGGATTTTTATTTTTTCATCAATGTCTTTTAAAACAGAATGGTTGTTTGTATATATTATAATTGCTAACTAATTTGTTTGATTGCCGCTTCTGAATGCGTCTGCAATTAAAATTTGACTTACTGATTTACCCTCTGTCTACTTATTCGACACTGTCTGATACACATTGATTCATCTGCTTAAAACCATTGTGCTGATTAATATGGATGTCTATCTAAGTAGTACTAAGGTTTCTCAACTGAATAAATTTTACGAGTTCAAACTACATTTTCAAGTTTTCCTTAAATATGATTATCTTCCTAAAGAAAACTTTAGTAATAACGCATTGTCATGAATCAATATTTTTCATGTTTAGCTGTTGTTTTAGATGTCATGTTGTATATCATGTGAGACTAAAATATATCAATAGTGTATGGCGTATACACATGATATTTTAATATTTTAAGACTCCTATTTCATCAAACTGAAGCTAAATAGGTAATTTATACCAAGTATACTTTCTCCATGTGGATGATTATTCTGAAGTCGGTAAACTCTAATGTTACTGCTAAATGGTTTTTAAAAGTCATGGTGTTTAGCTAAATTCTGAAAATGAAGTTAAATGTATGAAGTGCATTTAAAGTCCGTTACTTAAAAAAATGCTTGGTTCAATAAAAATAAAAGCGTGACATGCTTCAGATATCTTCTGATTTACAATGAAAACGAAAAGAATAACTAGTTCACTATATGTTTTATATTTATACAATGAACACAAGTTAAAGCAGTTGATGGAATAATCTCTATATTTTACTACTTAATCCCATCTGTATAGGACAACTGTAATTAAAACATTCAAAAGTAATCATTCATTTTAATATGATTAATTAACTTAGTTAAACAAAGTAAACGAACTGAAGTCATTCATCCAACAAAAGGAATATTAGACATATGTGTCGTTCAAGATTTAGAACCACTATATGGTTTAATACCAAAAAACTACTAGTTTGTAAAAATGAGTAAGACGTTATCAAATGAATGATTTTAAATGAAACCAAAAAAAGAATTTCATATTGCTTCGAGATAGTTAGTTGGTACGAATTTAATTTCACCATATGGATGAAATTTGACTAAACTCCAATTAGTATTCCCATTTTGACCATAAGATCTTATGATTGTCACTAACTGACCTTTGGACAATATTAGAACATTTTTATTTTTAGACGAAAAGTCATGAGTAATTCTGTGAGTTGGTTTATCGGGAAAATCATCATTCATACAGAGTTTTGAAGTTGAAGGTTGTTCTTTCACACTTATATATCTAATGTCATCACCTGAAGAAATCCTGCACAGTTTTTTCTCCTGTTGGTAATCAGACTCACGATACTATATAATAGAGAAAAAACCGTCAAGAATAAATTATAAGGTAAAAGTCAGTCCAATTTTAGAACAGTATTCAAAATATCTCCAGAAATTAGAAGACCAATATTGCAGAAGACCTACAGTTCATGTCTAAATTTAACCTTGACTAGAGAAACTGATATTGAAACTACATAACTAACGCAGTAATAATTTAGTCTTTGAGTATACAGTTTGCCTGTTACACAGTGCAGGAATTCGAATAATAATGAATTTATTTATCAAAAAAATGTTTTTAATTACCTGTATATATGAAATGAAATATTATAGTTTGCGTAAACGTTTCTATCTTAAGTAATAATCCGCTGATTAACGTGGATTTTAGTCTAATCGATTAAAATTGGTGAGCTGTTTTCTTTCACCAGAATAAGCTATGCATTAACATGGCACTACACAGTATCACTTTAATATTAGTTCCATGTTAAGAATTTCACTGCACGATAAATTCATAATCGGAGATGTTGAAAAAAGTGTATCTCGATTTAGTAACTATTGTGGCAAGAGCACTATCTTCCTTATTCAAAATGTTTCCACCCATTACTTAAACAATTAACATATGGACACTTATTCGTTGAAAATGCTTTTGAATATCGATCAAATCTAATTCTAAAATAATATTTTATTGTACGGATTTGAATCCGTAAAAGACACTAACTAGCCTATGACATAAATGAGAAGTAAAATAATGACAATTAGTAGGTCACACTTTGAAATACGAAATTCTTATTTAGAAATATCAGAACTGTAACTGCAATACTACTGTAACATAAACTTCTCATAATAAACTTAAGTGTTTATATTCTATGCTTGAACAGCATTACCACTCATTAAAAAGTAACTGCCTTCAAAATGATTGATATATCAGCTTCATATTTTTTCTAAAGTAAAAATTAATGGACCACACGTTGAAAAAATATAAGAAAGTATATTTTGGTCAGAAGTATACCCAAGTTCCATGGCAGCTTACTCATACTCATCAAGTCACAAAGCATTATTCACACCAAATTATTATTCTGCATTACTCTAGTTATAACACTAGTTTTTAGATGAAAAATCATACCTTAATGTAGTACATAAATATCTATAAGTTCCAAGTCTTATATCTCAAAAAACCACAGTCACCTGTTTTGACGAGTTATTCTAAACACATTATGGATGAATTTTTATCGGTAAATAATCGGTTGCATTTACATATGTTCTTAGTCACTGGTTGGGAAGTTAATTACCTTCAGCGTACATTAAAAGGCTGACATTCAGTTGACCAGGAAATTCCACATTCAATTTCTAAGAAACATTAAAACGATGTTCAGATTTTTAATAATATCCATTTGTCTACCGCAATACTTCCATCTGTTTGTATGAGAATTTATTTTAATTATCACATCCTAAACACACTGAATTCAATGTAATTAAGTTTAGGCATTAGGCATAACATTTAATTAAACAGAGTTTGGACACCAAGCAGGTAGTAAGACATGGTTGATTACTATTCACGAAATCCCTCAAAATATTCACCACTACACAGATGCTTTCTATTCAAATAGTTTTCTTTTGAATGAAAGAACTTTGTGATTTACAACCATAGAAAGTCGTTGTTTTTCTTAATTGTAATAAATAACACTGAATTAGTTAAGAAATATTAATACTTTTGATTACATCATAAAATGGATAGACAATTCACTACTTAATATCAAGAATTCATGAAGGTAGAATTAAAAAACAAACAGTACCAGTTTTATGCTTAGGATTCATCCCACAAATAGTTGAAAAACATGTGGAAGGTATTTGGAAAATAGACACATCTTTATTTTCAATAACAATCAGTATTAAGAGACCATATTTTCGATGTAAATATAACGAGAAAAAAAACAAACATCATAGACCATTTATGTATGTCATTAGAATAATCATTTTTACAAAAATAAATCTTTGAATTTATTATTTAGATTAGTGCGTCAATGATGATCAGTAAAGAGGGAATACTTATGAATATGAATATGTTATGCGTCATTGGAAATTGAAAAAATGTGGAGGATTTTTATATCAGTAAGAACCTGTATATCAACATGAAATGATGTTTTTACATAATCCTAACGATTTCATTATAAATTTGACTATTCCTCTAGATCTAAAGCTTTAACAATAGTCATGATTAATTAATCGGTAACGTTGTGATAAAATATGTTCCATAAAAGATTAAAAAATCTTATATTTTGTTTATTTCTACAATGTACACTAAATCGAAACTAAACTAATACGTTCACCATAGAACTTTAACAGTATGAAAAATATATATATTCAACTTACAATAATTTTCATTTCCGGATATGGTGATAAGGAATTTTTAATAACACTTCTAGTTGAAATTGTTTGACAGGGTTGAATATCTACATCTGAATTTGATAGATGACTGCTAACTGACATTACAGCTAAATAAATTTAAGAAATTGTCAAATATATATAACCAATTAAACACAAATTTACAGTAGATCAAAGTGTGAAGATGGAGAATGTGATAAATTGTTTTATATTTTTCAGTTTCGATTACACAATACTGGATTCGGAAAATGTATAGACATGAACTACTTTGAAACTTTCAGTTTGACTCAAAATTAAACGAATACAAAGTTCTTTTTCTCAAGTTAATCATGCAGTTATGCTTATTCAACACAATAATACCAATGGGCGTATGACTAAATTCATTCAACAATTATCCGTAATATACTTTGTTTTCTGTAATCAAAGTGGAATAGCAAGATTAAAGCGGTAAATACTATCAAGCCAGTACAGCTATAAAAAATATTACATAATTTGTGCACTCGATTACTCAATCAAACACGTGCAATTTTGTTCAGTCAGTCCGGTGAACTAATGCTAATCGTTTTATGCATGGACTATGTTGTTTTTTGTCTCATAAATTGTATCACAAGAACCCTATGGTCATGATTACTCAATCGTTTACAGAAAGGGTGTTAATTGCAAAATCTAACTTAATATTAAATGTAATTAGACTTGCTTTAATTAATCATTTACTAGCAGCATATATATAGACATTTCCTCTTGTCAATAAAACAAGAAGTAAGCGTTGAAAACCTACAGAGCTTGATTAATGTCTATCAGTATAAATTTATTTCAAAGAAAAATTGTGTTATGGAACAAAAATAAAGCCGACTAGTCAACAATAATACTTAGAATATTATAAACATTTGGACTATCAGTTTGAAGTTAATACAATAAAACATTGAAAAAAAAGTGACCTAGCATATAAAATTTGAACAACTAATACCTTCAATTAACTTATCATAAAGCAGTAGTAATTATTTCGAATATTTAGTTGGTTTTAAAGTTCATAAAAAGAAAACAATAATTTCTAATACAGACTTGAAATATTTGTTACTAGTGGATTCAGTTCTAATACAGAACACTGATTTGTTTATTAATTACAATAGTTGCAAAAATAAATAATCAATTTATTGAGCTTCAGTCAGTTTTATAAATGTTTCTTTTTTACTCAGGTATCGAGATAATAATTAAACTATTCAATTTATTTAATACTCAAATACAAATAAGCTGGTTTACCATTACTTTAATGACCTTAAATCCTTAATAACCCATTCATATTGACAAATAATACGTGAAATAAATAAAAGAACTATTCAAGCGTAAAATTCTAAAATCTTACGAGATTCCTGATGAGTTAAATTATTCTTGTCACTACACGTTGATTCTTCTTCCCATTTAAATACACTAGGTACTTCATATATTCTATGAGTTCGACAACGTTTTTTTTCGTAGAGAAGAGATTTTAATTTATTTAGACGAATAATAAGTTCTGCAGGAGATATATTACATCCAGGTTGTATAGATATATTGTCTTTTTCAGTCTGTTGAGAATATAAAATGTTTTAAACACTTTAATTAAAGACGTTCTACTATATAAACAAATAAATAATAATGTCTGTGCAAAATTATTCGTAAAGTCTTAAAATTTAACTGCTTTTTCAAAAGTTTCTCAAAATTGCAATTATTCTATATATCAATTAGTATACCAAGTTGACCAGACGGAGAAAACAGTTCACAAACTATTTATTCATAAACAGTGTGATTTTACATAAAACTAAAAACACTTAGTAATCCAAGTCGTGCTGGACATTGGAGTTTTTTTATTCATTCATCGAGTCTTTGTGAAGGGGACGTGACTCAGCTTCGTAGTTACTACCATATCTGATTTCAATGCTTCAGCTGACATACTGTTTGGTTCTGCTGCTTTGACATTTTTGTTTTTTTGAATGGCTTTGCTGATTTCCAATATTGGCACGATGTAATCCATTAGGAGGTTTGTTTGTGTGGCTTCGGTATCTAATGAACTCAGAGGTACTGGTCTATTCAAGAACTCTTTTAAAAATGCTTTACCGACCAGTTCTGCTGCTTCTGAACCCAAATGATTGCTTGCCATTTTGCCCTTGACTGGTATATCTGGTTTGCCGTATTTTGTTCTTGAGAGCTTCTTTATTGCATAATTGAGTTCTTTCATATTTTCTTCTCTTACAGCTCGTTCTCCTGTAGTTGCCAGGCCTTCCAATTCTGTCGTTTACTCGCTTGTTTACTTCTGTTTACTTCTGTGAATTCATTTGACTTGGGTTCCTCTGTTCTTGTTCGACTGTTGTCGACTGCCGTCCACTTGTTTTTCCTTTCTTGAATGATGCCTAGGTTATTAATAGAGTTTAACTTTATATTCTGGTGCTTCATTGGAACCAGGCCCTCCTGACATGTTGGTGTTATCATTTCTTTAATCCTTTTCTAGTTATCCGCTATGGTGGTTTCCGTTTTTTCGAGCATATCTAGTAAGGCTTGTAACTTGTTGCTGAGAGCTATCTTGAATTCAGTGAGTTTGTCAGTGTCTCGAAGAATGACCATACTAAACGTTTATATTGCTGCTTGTCTGACTACCCGGTGTTTCCCAGTTTCAGCCAGGGCACCACCAGGTGTTGATCTGAATCTGTATCAGCTTCTTTGTTTGTTCCTATGACTTTCATGAACCTCATGAACTTTTTATTGATGTAAATGTGATTTGTCTTGTTTTCTGTAGTGTGTTCTCATGTAGTTTTGTGTTTGTATTTGTGAGGGCAAGTACAACTACGCTACCATAGTGTTATTGAAAATAAACAGATCTATAAGCCTCTAGTCATCTTTGATTCTTTTTTTAAATTCATTTAGTCTCATGACTTCCTATTACCCTATGTTGTCCATGTCAACCTTGGCATTCAAGAATATAAAATCTTTTTCAGGACAGTGCTTCTTCATATTTCTACAGCTACTTGAATGTTTCTCCCAGTCTCCCACATTGTCCGAAGATTCCATGCATTGATACTAATTATTGATCTGGTTTTCTGAATGCTCGTGGGTTTCGCGATTTCGATAGAAGTTCCGCTTCCATCATGAGGTGTCATAACTCGTCTATATGAACACTCTTCAACTACCAGTTCAGAGTTTAAATGGTCCAAATAAATTTTTCTGATTACTGTTTTTAATTACCTTATATTTCACAGTATGTGCTACTATTCCGTGATGATAAATATATAATATCTAATTCGTTATATGTGAATATATGAATTGAGCTGGAAAACATTATAAGTGTTTTTGGTATACCTTGTTTCAGCATTAATACTAATAATAGAATATCAACATCAAACATACATTGTTTGACTCATCAATTTAACCATTTTTGCAAAAATGATCAAAATAATGATCACAACCAAAATTTTCTAGGCCTGGACGGATTTCGTAAAAGGATCTGCTTAATAGATTAAAATAGTTGTGATGTCAGCAAGCATAATGTCATAAAGAAAAAAACTATGTTGTATTCTACCGTTTAAATAATTTCTGAAGATCTAATAGTATTATTATAAATACATAGAATTGCATTTCATTTAACTTATTGATGTTAACAAGAACATATGTATTTATTACTGAAAAAGAATTAAATTTGTACCGTCTTAAAGATCAGACCACATAAGATTTCATAGTTTGTTAGAATTATTTGATAGAAAACATAAATCAACACAGTATTAATTGCACATATTAATTATGCAATTAATTGTTGATGTAGAACTTATGAAAAACTAATTCATTATAATTCTGTAAATCTTCTATTCATTATGTCACTTGTGCTTGTGATGAATAAAGTATGTAAACTTACTTCTTTTGCACATGATTTATTGATTTAAATTAAACAGATTCACAAGCTAAAAATTTTATTGTTTTCGTATGAATAAAAAGTGTTGTCTAACAACGCTTAGAATTGTCTAGAATTTGTGAAACGTTTGCCACAATTTGCACAAATATTTTATTCAAAAGAATAAAAATTTTATCAGTAAAGCAATCATGCACTTATCATTATGCTAAATAAAGTGGAAGTTCGTTGTGAAAGTATTGATGTATTCATAAAGTTAAGCAAGATGAAATCAGTAACTTTTGTTGATCTTTTCCAAATGGTATGAGACTTCTGAATTCAAGTAATCTAAATAATGTGGTCATTTGAATCTTATTAATTTGCTAAATATTATTAACCATTTCGTCCACGATTAACAAGAACACCTTTCACTAGTTGGATAGTTTTTACTGAAACTTAAGAAGTAGTTACTTGTCTGACTGATTTTATCGTCCAACACTATATTTTTATCTAAAACCATATCTTGCATTAAAACACTATACTTAAAGTTATTTAGAAAGATATTTTGTTGAAAAACAATGATTTTCAACGGATTTCTTAATCCATTCTAAGACACACAAACTAATTTCTCACTATAATAAGTTGAAATAAAAATAAGAGTTTTAGGTAATCAATAAGAGTTGTTCATAGTGTTTACCGCGTGTGTTTATTTACAGGATATCAGTAAGCCACTAAATCAGGGATTTTAAACCAGTTGATATGATGTTCAAACTTGGGATAGTATAAGCGCAAAAACCACACCATTGCTATGCTAGCTTAAAGTATGTATTAAATAGCTCAATGATAAATACATTCGTACAATTCATACTGTTTACATAGACTGTATTCACTATTACTTGAACCAATGGTAAACTTGAAAATGATAAATCAAGGTCATTATGACATTTATTTTTAGAACTTACATCGTTAATACACTTGTGAACTAAATTTTCAGCTTCTTGCATAAGATTTGATTGAATTATAAAAGCGTATTGACTAGCTGATAATAAAATATTATTTGCACTTTTTACCAATGAAGGTAGGATATGTTGTAGTCCAAACTGTAAAGTAGACAGATTTCGTATATTGTCTTCTCTTTGTAATTGCATATTAACAACAGCTTGCTTGACAAAAGAAATAATTTCTAATTAATTTATTTAAGAAAAAAGCGTCGATATCTTTATAGCATAGAAGTGAAATTTCTACTTTTTTGTATTCATACCTAATTGTATTAATGACAGAAATTAATCACTGAAAGATGTAACTGGCTTTAGAAGTTGATTTACTGATGATGATGATTATTATTATTATCATATCCTAATATAGGCTACATATAATAATAATAAATGTATGATTTGTAAATGTTCAAATGAAAATTAAATTTCATAATATAAAAACCTGAATAATAAGCAAATGTTAAATATTGTATTGTATTTCTTAACAAAGAATGGTGAACAATTTTCAAGATAAGGTATAAGTTTATGTAGTTACTTAATTAAGTAAGATATTCGTGGGAAAAAAATTACTCTCAAGAGATTCATTCATAACTTGAACGTTATTTTTAAGCATAACTCTCTTGGTTATGTAAAATACGTCAACTCAGTTTTGATAACATATTATTTTAGGATTTATATTCATAATCAGTTATCGAAAAGACATGTACATAGGAAACTCATCGTCTTACATCGTTGACGATATATGTTGACGATAAGCTTTTCTGTATACTTTCGCCTAACACTACTGAACATTTATCAAGTGAGAATTGACTTTTTTTAGTAAATTTTTATTGTTAGTTAACACGTTAATTTATTTGAAGTATAGTAAATTAACCACAGATTGCATTTTCGACAAAGAAGGAATAGAAATGAAACTCCTATGACAACATTTATTAATAGAAGTTTAAATGTTTGCAAAATACGTATTTCAGCAAGTAAAACAATTATAATTCTGTAGATTCCTCTGACTCTCTTTGATTACGGTGAGCTTGTTTTGACTAATGAATAATGCTTTCGTAAAAGTAGATTACATTAAAATTGATTATATAAGTTGTTGCTAACAGAGATAAATATCATTTAATGATGTTAAACAGAATATGGTTACAATCATGCGACTGTAAACCAAACCTAGTAACGAGTGAATATAATTATATCGAAAAAATAAATAACTCAACATAGTAGATAATCAGTTCACTCAATATATGGTCTCATAGTTAGTTATAAATGTAATCAATAAGATATGATCTGCTAGTTGATAAGCTAAGTGGTATATTTCCACTACTTCTATGTGTACTACGGTACAGATCTCATGTAACAATGAATAATAATGGCGAATAAATTCATACTGAAAGAAAACTCTGTGACGGAATTTAAGTAAATGAGTCTTTTAACGTTGATGGGTTTAAAACCAAACTTTATTTTACTTTATTTATATTGCTTTAAAAATGTTTTTCTAAGGGTAAAATCGATGTATTGTTATGGGATTAGGCATAGAAAATGCAAGAAAATGCCATACAGTTATACTTGTATTTTACCAAAACAAACTCAACTCAATATGTAAGAAAAAAATAACCTATCAATTGTGTGATAGCACACTATAAGCTAAAACTTTCACTGGAACAACATATAGAGAATTACTGGAATTCCTTGAATAATATACCAGGAATGATGTCATTCAGTATAACTTTTTTGATTAGTAATGCATAACTTGAATTGTTAACTTTGTTTTTTAGTGTATCTTTTGTACTATACAAATAACATGCATAAGTAAAGAAAAATCCATGAAATACCTATACTACTTGATTCTTTTGTGTTTTTTACTGTGTTCTTTCATCGTTCGTCATGATGTCCTCTAAAATGGAATTGTTTATTGTCTTGATTACAACAAATTACCAGATATGTAAGTGTGATGTTACATTTTATTTTACAAATCGTAAACTACGAAGAAGAAAGAAAATTGCAAGTTGTAGATTTGTGACAAAACATTCCATAAATTATTCTCATAAAATGTGAAGCAATACACATATGTAAAGTTAATCATTGAAAAGATAATATTTCTTGACTCAACTTACAACATTTTTATGGTTTTTCATTGAAGCTTCCATTAAAACAATGTTCAATTCTGTATTATCGTATTTATCCAAAAGACGCTTTGAAAGATTTATTAATTTTTTCAATTCATTTAAACGATTAACTACACTAGATGACATTTTTCTCAACTACAACACAAGTTCATGAAAAAAACAGGTGTATAATATATTAAATGTTCATCATCTGGTCCATAAAGAAATCATTTATTAATTTACTTACGCCTGTTAACCATCGTAGGGGAACCTAGGTCGCACACCAGCATTCCACAGCCAACCCTGTCCTCACTCATCCTTTGCAGCTGTCTCCAGTCGCCGTTCATTCTTTCAATATCTGCTTCCGATTCTCGAAACAATGTGTTTCTCGGTCTTCCTCTTTTCAATTTCCAAGTTTTCCAGATTCCAATTCAGCGCTCACCTCACGACATAGTCTGATGATTTCCTCAGTGTATGTCTTATACACACCCAACGCGTTTGCACAAGTTCCTCTTCAGATGGAAGTTGGTGCGTTCTCTCACACAGTAGATTGTTGCTGATGGTATCCGACCAACGGACGTTGAGTACATTAAGTAGACAACTGTTTATAAATACCTGTACTATTTCGATGTTGGTTGTGGTAGTTCTCTAAGTCTCATCTCCGTACATCGAGACTGTCTCGACGTTCGTATTGAAGATTCTGAATTTTGTGTTGGCATGCATACAGTTGTTTGGAGTTCCATGTATTCGTCAGTTGCAGGAATATCGCCCTTGATTTGACGATCCTTCTTGTTCATCGATGATGCTGTCCAGACATGTGAGAGTTGCCACGTGTTCCAGAGTTTCTCGTTTGAGTGTGAGTGTGATGGTGTTCTCTGTGTTGTATTTGAGGATGTTACTTTTCCATCATATATGTTGATGCTTACTTCTCTAGAGACTACTGCTTCAGCAGGTGTCTTGACCTGAATTTATTTATGTGTATGAGGTAGACGAGCTAGGTCACCTACAAAGTCCAAATCATCTAGTTGCATCCAAACTGTCCACTGTATTCCGTGCTTCCCCTCAGATGCGGAGTGGAGGTCTTCATGATCCAGTCAACCACCACCAGAAGAAGAAGAAAGGGAGGGTATGAGCAGTCCTGTCTGACACCGATCTTCATTTGGAATGTATCTGTTAGCTGTTCTCCATGCATAACTGTGCAGTGTAGTCTGTCATAAGAATTCCGTATGACGTTGACGATTTTCTCAGGCACACCAACAGTGTCTGTGTATTTTTCATACAGTTCATCTATTCACACTGTCAAACACTTTCTTGTAGTCAATCAAGTTGATGCACAGTGATGATTTTTATTCAGTTGATTATTCAATGATGATCCGTGGTGTATAATGTAATCAGATGTGAGTAAAATGCAATTTGAAACCAAATATATTTGAGAAATAACCGGTTGACACATCTTACAATCTCCAAACATAATAATTTGCTGTCACTCAAGTACAAAAGATAATTCAATCAAATCACCTAGAACTAATCATGTTTTTATTTACAGTCATGTCACATATAAATATTTGTTGTTCAAGCTGCCGGTTGTCGTGAAACTTCAGGGCCTTAGCTATGACTTTTTTGTGATCGTGAGTGCGTATCCTTTAGAGGGTTTTCTGCCGTATTGAAATAGCTGTCCAATGTTTTTATATTTTCACTAATTGTTTTACTGTCTTCAGTGTAATATGTATCAAATATCTTTCTGGTGAAATGTAGATCATCAGTCATATCTAGATGACTTCACACAAAGATGTAAAACACTAATAGTACGATAAAAACAAAAATAACGTTTTATTAATCAAAATTGATCAATTAAAGCCTTATTAAGAATAATTAGGTAAGATGAACAACCCAAAAAAGTTAAGTAATGTTATGAATACTGTAGTAAAATGTCTTTTTATTTTGAAGTATAATTCAGTGATTTGGAATGAACGAGGTTTTTAAATGTTCCACAAATCAGAATGAAATGAAATAAAAACTTAATTGAAAATAGTTTCAAACACAACAAATTAAACTAAGCTGAACATCTGATACGATTAATGCTATGTTAATCAAAACTAAAACCCAGATACATATAGCTAGTAAGCTTTTGTATGGTATGTAACATAAGTGCTTAATTTCACTGTTACCTACTATTTAACATACAATCAATTTGAAAATAAATTTTAATAGAAAATATAATTTACTGAAGAAACTAAGTAGAATTATGAAGATAGTGATGTGCATAACTTACATATATATCATTCATATAATGAATTAATGTATCAAATGCAATTTCACAATTTATTATTAAATCGATAGGTAATTCATTTGATGAACAATTAGTTGTTGGTATATCAGAATGAAGTTTAATTGTGTTTCGTTGTAAAAATACCTTTTTCATAAAAGAGATAAAGTCTTTCTGTGCCAATATAAATCTCTATAAAATAAAAATAATCATTAAAATAATTTAATACATTAAAGTGAGAAATTTCGAGAAAAAAATTCAAAGCTGATTTATAGGATTTCTAATTTTAAAGTTATTTGTTAATAAAAATAAATTTGATTGAAGAAGAGCCTTTTATCTAATGTATATGAAAACGAAGCCGTTTATCGTTTAATGTTAGTTGATGAGGAATGCATCATGATTTTGGCAATAAGGATAAAACACATCCTTCTCTAACGTATTCAGGTATATAATGCCCAATGTTTTTGAGTACTTTAAGTGTAATTTAGTCATCTGTAAAAATTAACATAAGTATGCTGATGATTATATTTTAGTTCATAAATAATACCTTGATTTACGGATTATAAGTTACCAATAAAGTTATTTAGCGATTTCAATTATTATCAATTATTAACAAGATCTTGTTAGGTAATTCACGATAAATGGAGCACTGGGTAAATTGCTTATTAGAAAATGAACATAGTTAGCCTTTATACTAAAAGTGTTGGGTTAAAATAAACTCCGGTAGGTCATTTAATTAAACTATTTCTTGTTAACTGATACATGCAATTTAGTACGTAGACTTTAAATCTGCGTATTTAAGCAGTGAGAAACTTTATCGTTTACCTGAACTTATTTAAAAGAGCAATCAAAGTTGCTAAATATAGGGCAAATAAAATGCCAAAGCTGGAATATCGGAAAGAAATTCATGTAATGGTGTCGAGATTTTAACTTATTCCCAAGGTAGGTTTATTGCGTCCCCATCCCGTAGAAAACTAACTCGCTAAAAAAACGCTAACCAGAAAAAATTATTCAAACCTTTTAAACTCTGCCCTGGGAGTCAGAAGGTCTTCTTTTAGAAGAACTATGACGCCTCATGATGAAAGCCGAATTTCTTCGGAAGTTACGAGACCGATGCCCCTTCTGACAACCAGAGCGACCATTTATTTAGGTACATGGAATGTTCGTACAATGTGGGACACCGGGAGAGCCTTCCAAATTGCTGCAGAAATGAGAAGATACAACCTAGAGTTACTTGGGATCAGTGAAACACATTGGACGCAAGTTGGACAACAACGACTAACTTCAGGAGAGCTTCTGTTATACTCCGGCCATGAAGAAGAAAATGCACCACATACACAAGGAGTTGCATTGATGCTGTCCAGACAAGCGCAAAATGCGCTTATAGGATGGGAATCTCATGGATCAAGGATCATCAAAGCCTCCTTCAAAACAAAGAAAGAGGGCATTTCAATGAACATCATCCAATGCTATACGCCTAACAACGACTACAATGAAGAAGCTAAAGATCAATTCTACAATAGGCTGCATTCAATCGTCGAGAAGTGCCCAACAAAGGACCTGACCATTCTGATGGGAGATTTCAACGCCAAGGTTGGAACGGACTACACTGGATATGAAGACATCATGGGACGACACGGACTGGGAGAAAGAAACGAAAATGGTGAGAGATTTGCAAACCTATGTGCCTTCAATAAACTGGTCATAGGCGGCACCATATTCCCACATAAACGCATACACAAAACCACCTGGACTTCACTGGATCACACTACACAAAACCAAATCGACCATATCTGCATCAACAAAAAGTTCAGGAGGACGATGGAAGATGTGAGAACCAAGAGAGGAGCTGATATAGCATCTGATCATCACTTGCTGGTCGCCAAGATGAAATCGAAACTCAAGAAGCACTGGACAATGGGGCAGACAATATCACAAAAGTTCAATACGGCCTTTCTTCAGGACACTGACAAACTCAACGAATTCAAGATAGTCCTCAGCAACAAGTTCCAGGCCTTTCATGATCTACTCAATGGAGAAGGAACTTCTGTGGAGAGCAGCTGGAAAGGGGATCAAAGAGGCAATCACTTCAACATGTCATGAGGTCCTGGGTCACAAGAAGCACCATCACAAGGAATGGATCACTGTTGATACACTGGATAAGATTCAAGAAAGGAGGAACCAGAAAGCAGCAATCAATACCAGTCGAACAAGAGCAGAAAAAGCCAAGGCACAAGCTGAATATACAGAAGTAAACAAACAAGTGAAGAGGAGCATCAGAACCGACAAACGTAAATATGTGGAAGATTTAGCAACGACGGCGGAAATGGCTGCAAGAGAAGGAAACGTGAGACAATTGTATGACACGACAAAGAAACTCTCTGGAAATCGCCACAAACCAGAACGACCAGTGAAAAGCAAGGACGGCAAGGTAATCACTAATATTGAAGAGCAACAAAACAGGTGGGTAGAACACTTCAAAGAACTCTTGGTTCGACCAGCTCCACTGAATCCACCCAACATCAAAGCAGCACCCACGGACCTCCCAATCAGTGTTGGCACACCAACAATTGAAGAAATCAGCATGGCCATCAGACAAATCAAGAGTGGCAATGCAGCAGGACAAGACAACATTCAAGCAGAGGCACCGAAAGCAGACGTAGCGGTAACTTCAAGGATACTCCACATCCTCTTCAATAAGATTTGGGATGAGGAACAAGTACCAACAGACTGGAAAGAAGGACCACTGATCAAAATACCAAAGAAAGGCGGTCTCAGCAACTGTGATAACTACAGGGGCATCACTCTTCTCTCAATACCGGGAAAAGTCTTCAACAGGGTATTGTCAAACAGGATGAAGGACTCCGTAGACGCCCAACTTCGTGACCAACAGGCAGGATTCCGTAAGGATAGATCGTGTACAGACCAAATCGCAACTCTACGGATCATTGTGGAACAATCAATTGAATGGAATTCATCACTCTACATCAACTTCATTGACTACGAAAAGGCATTTGATAGCGTGGACAGAACAACACTATGGAAACTTCTCCGACACTACGGCGTGCCTCAGAAGATAGTCAATATCATACAGAGTTCATATGATGGATTAAACTGCAAAATCGTGCATGGAGGACAGTTGACAAAGTCGTTCGAAGTGAAGACCGGTGTTAGGCAAGGTTGCTTACTCTCACCCTTTCTCTTTCTCCTGGTGATCGACTGGATCATGAAGACGTCAATGTCTGAAGGGAAGCACGGGGTACAATGGACGTCTAGGATGCAGTTGGACGTTCTAGACTTCGCAGATGATCTGGCCCTTCTATCCCAAACGCCACAACAAATGCAGGAGAAGACGAACAGTGTAGCAGCAGTCTCAGCAGCAGTAGGTCTCAATATACACAAAGGGAAAAGCAAGATTCTCCGATACAACACAGAATGCACCAATCCAATCACAATTGACGGAGAAGATTTGGAAGATGCAAAAACCTTTACATATTTGGGCAGCATCATTGATGAACAGGGTGGATCTGATGCAGATGTGAAGGAGTGGATTGGTAAAGCAAGAGCAGCATATTTACGACTGAAGAACATCTGGAACTCAAATCAACTGTCAACCAACACCAAAGTCAGAACTTTCATTACAAATGTCAAGACAGTTCTACTGTATGGGGCAGAGACTTGGAGAACTACGAAAGCCATCATCCAGAAGATACAGGTGTTTATTAACAGTTGTCTACACAAAATACTTCGGATCCGTAGGCTTCAAATGAAGGATAAAATAGAAAACTTGAGGCTTTGTTGTTTTAAGGACTGTGTTTATTTACCCAAACGGAAGTATATTTTGTATCAATAACTGCCATCAACTAGAAAACTAATAAACAGCTACTTTTCCAAGTTCAAGAAGCCACAGCACTGTATCTATAATTAAAACAGGCCCATGGCAAGTATAAAAAATTTTAGATACAAATTCAGCATTCTGTGAATGCTTTCTTTAATCCCAGACGTTTTGTATAATCATGGAAAACTGACTTGCTCCTTACGTGATTGAATGTAAGGTCTTACCCGAGTTTTCTTACATCGAGACTCAACAGCATTCTGTAATAACGCACATGATTTCTCGATATGATTTATGGCTTCTCGTTCTGTTAGAAATCTTTGTTGAATCTGTCAACAAATGAAAACGATAGAAAAAAAGTAACAGTGCAGTTGTTGATTTAAACAATCGTTGCCTAGGCAAGAACTTAACTCAGGTTCACGTTAAACACTACGTATTTTCGGTTTAGAGTCAAAAATATTTCATGCTACTGTTTAAATACCTGGACAATAACCAATTTTTAGCTATTTGCCAAATTTATGGTTTAATTTAACGTCGATTAAATATTAAATAATCTCTTGGGAATAACAATTTTTATATTTGTCTGTTCACATAACGCTGATGGCACTCTATCGATCACGTTGTACTTCGGCCGATAGCATATGTAAGTCATTATCCCACACATTACGTCATGGTGTTAAGTAGTTGAAGGCAGTCTGAAAGAAAACCGAAACATAAGTTTCTTCTTAGTTTGTATTCACCCCCAGCATTTCTCTGTAATCGTTGACAAAGTGATGTTACCCTATGAATTTGAACTTGCATCATTCAGGATCAAGTGTATTCCACAATATTTAAAGAGCTTACGTAGATTTTCCGGTCACTGCATTCGCTGAAAACTCGGAACTCTAATTTTCTGTCTAGAGTAGTGGAAATGATTTATTCTCAAATATTATTAAGCTATAGCTACTTTCAGAAATAAAATCGAGGACAATTTACTTATTAAGAATAACCATTTATAATCCGATCAGGTAATATAGAGACAGGACCTAATCAACCATTAACAGTCATTGAACCATTTCCCTTCAAAGTAAAAACAAACTGCTTGATACGAACAGCAATATTTCTTGATAGAACTGGTCAGTACTGTATGTAAAACACTTCAAATTCAAGCAACAATGAAGACATTTGACAAGAATTTACAGTTCTATTTTTCACAGAAACTAGTTATCTTAGATTGAATTTCCAAAAGAACAGAAGTTTTATACAGCTGCAGATTGTGTAAAATCAACAAAATAAGGCTGTTAAAATTCTTAGTATCACTGATTCTTCTTGTATTGGTTAGAAAAACCCCTTAATTGCAATAGGTTTAGAAACAAAGAATTAGTATATATATACTTAACATAACAAACTGACTAGAGTTAGTTTTAATCCATAAGGCGTTTAGACTATTTTGTGGTTACAGATATCCTAAGAAGAATAGAATGCAATTTAGGGACCTCCAACGGACTGTCTTTAAATATACAATATATTCCATTGAGGTATCGAATGACTTAACCAACCGGTTATGTTGCAGATTCGATTAATAGGATTCATTTGGTATTTTGGTCTTGATGTTAAAAACTGTTTGGCTATAAAGAAAACTACCACTTAAAGGCAATCTTACTTTACGAGTAGCTTCTGAGCCTGAGCTACGTGCAGCCTTTGCTATTATTCTTTTAGTGCTCTTGTCAACTAATTGAAATAGGGAATATTTTCGCGTTTCTTCAGAAACACTGGCACCTATAAGAGATAATGAAAATAAAAACAATAATGCTAATAAAATTATTGTGTAAAATTAAATTTGCATTATTATGTATAGTAATGGTTAGTTTATGATAAGTTTACTCACTTACAAATTAATCTGACACTTTATCTAAATAAATACAAGATTTCTGGCATATACATCCAATAACACAGCTATTATAAGCCAACTGTTTACCAATAATTGATTCGTAAACACATAGGGGTAAACACTTTGTTGTTAATTTATCAAAGTGTAAAAGTTAGTTTTAGGTGAATTATGACTTCTCAAGATGGATTACGTGTTGGAGAATTAAAACAGACTAGCACTTTAGGTTCGAAATTTTGTAGACGAGTAAAGCGTACTTAAAACCCGCCAACGTAATTGGTCTCGTGACAACCATCTACGTGTACATTTTTGAACAACTATAATCTATGTGCTAGTTCCTAATGCATAATTTCATACAATATGACATTATAAGTTCTAAAGCTTTTCAGTTCCATCCTAAGATTTTATTAAACATTTAAATGTCATACCATGCATAAACACAATTATTTAGGACTTAGAGATAGTCAACGACATAAAGATTGTCAAAATATCCACAATGTTCAGTGATAATGCGTTTTACATAATTACTTAGGGGAATTCTTATTACATTCATTGTACACCTTCTTTATAATATGTGGTTTAAGATGGAACACTTGATATCATGCTATAACTTACTCACTAAATAACAACAGTTAGAATTTTTACAATACAATATGACTTTATTTCCGAAGCTAAAACTACGTTCAGGTGAATAATCAGTGGAGTTAAAAACTGAATAGTATATACGGGCATCAAAATTATAATAATTTAGTAAATGACAATTAGTGTTTGACCGCTTTGTTCCTCATGGATAAAATCTGATTTCTGTGTAATTTTTGACGAAAGTGTCTCTTCGTCCAAATAATCCATGGGTCTGTAAGGATAAATAAAATTATTATATTCGGAATTATGGCTTGATAACGGTATATGAGGTAAGTGCTAATACTAGATAAACACCAGCTTCCTTAAGGTTTCAGATGGATTAAAGGTGCAAGATCTGAGTTTGTTAAAACTATTTGAAAGTAGCTTTCCGCTGAAATACTGAGTAGAAATTCAACCCTTCACTTCTTGAACTTCAGTCGATTTGAGTTATATCCCATTGGTAATCTGGTGTCATGAGTGGTCCTAATCTGCTTTTTGATATGGTTGCTTTGTTTCAGAACAATTATCTGCTCGTGATATTTTCATTATATATTTGTATTTAACTACAAATATTTAAAATCAAGCTGTTTGACAGTGCATCTTGTAAAAATTTACTTAGATATACTATAATACTATATTTAAAAAAATAGAAATGTAACTATGAGATACATGTAAAAGTTAGACAACTTGAATGAATACTTACAAATCTCTTTCCATCGTTTGACTTCATTCACTTCATAGGCTAATTGATCAAAGTTATTGAACATCTCCGTACTTGCCAAACAATCTGGATGATTTATCGGTGTTACCTAAATATCGAACATAAAATAATTGTAAATATAGTTCTTTGACTGATGTCGTATTTATGATGACTACTTACCGTATAAACATTTTCATACAGCCACATCATTACATAAAAACCATAGATTCATTACTAATTAGCTTCAAAATACTCGAACAAAGGTCCTGATACAGAACTGTGACATATAGAGTAGTTAGTTCTGTAGTAAAACTGTCATTTATAGTAGATGCTAGATAAAAACTAATCTGTTCTACAAATAGTGAATATTTAACATGATAAATATTGTGCTTGCTTACAATATATTTTAAATCTTAAATGTCGAATTCAAATTCCCACAACAGGAGTTCAAGATATTGACGCTATATTATTGAGTAAAGGCTAAATCCTAATACGTCTCGTTTATGTTTACATATTAATCTATAATAGAATATTTCGTGAGAAAAAAAAACAGAGTAGAGGCTAAAAATAAAATTAAACAATGAATAAAAGATACTTATAAAAAGCAAATGTCCTTGCATGGCCGAGCGAGGGGGGAGTCAGCTCTCTCTTTCAAAATGCTCTCACATGGTCACGCGTATATAGCCAGTGTCTTCTTGTGACGGGAGTGTTGTTTACGAAATTGAGAGGGAGAGAATCTAATGTCCAGCACTTTAACTGGATCGTTGAATATGAAGGATCCACCTAGAGGAGTTGGAAAATCTTGATTTCAAACTTGTGGTGCACATGGGCTTCACAATCCTGAGGGACTAAAAGGTATACAAACCCACTGTTGATTGCCGGTTACTATGAGATTGTGTCTACTAACGCTACTCCACTGAATGGTGGATTAGACCTCTAGGTGAAAGGCTCGGAGAGTTTATCTCTAAGAAAACGACCTGCTTCGGTTCGGGCGTCCGGGAGGTATCCGAGCCCCTACACAAATCTAATGATTTGTGTAACGCATATATCTTTTGGGTCTCCTTGTACCAAATTTTATGTCTTTAGATAATAAATAGATAAATATTTTAAAAAAGTCTCTTTAAAATACAAAAATAATTAGTCGCTAGAAATAAAAGTAATAAATTAGCTGACCCTTAATATACACTTTTTTTTCTAGTCTGATTAATAAGAGTATTAAGTGGTTTTTTAAGCTTCAATCAAACGACATGAACGAAAATCAATCAATGGATGTAATAGATTTCTTATCTAAATATTTGTTTTTGTATACGTACTCACATCTTTCAATAATTCAAACAGTTGTTTTAACTTAACTAATCTTTGAACTGGTTTAATTAATTCATCATTTAAAGTCAATATATTTGGACGTTCGCTTTGAAGATTTTTGAAACCAAGCACGGAAAATGTTTGAATTTCTGTATTCTGAAAAGAAAAATATATTCATTACAATACAAAGACAAAATAGTTGAAGTAATTTTATATCATTTCATAGGTATGTCACAGTCTTCTGCCAAGAAGAAACAGAAATATAAGTGTAACTTAGAATGTTGTTGAACTTCGTTTGGTAGATTATGTTCACTTGTTATAGTATTGTTTAGTTGTTCATGAAACTTTCCAAAATTTCCATATCAATCTCTGTGCTACCGATCCACTTACACTATGGTAACTAGTTATTTTTTATGATGACTGATAAACAATAGATATTACTAAGTGTGCTACATTTTAGTGGGTTATTATCATCTATCGATTTGTAAGGACATTAAATATTATGTGGCATAATACAAGTTTATAAAACGCGGTTGATTAATAACCTATATGTATGGCATTAGATAGTCCACAATTTATATGTCAATCTTTTACCAAAAATACGACCAATAGTATAAACCAATTTTCTCATCTAAACTTAAACACAAAATTGAATTATTACACAAAACATGTTGAAGAATTGTGTTTTTATTTATGAGACTCAGAAAGAGAACAGATGTTATTACTCAATATATCAATCAATGAATAACAGTAATTAACTAACCTTTGTTGAAGCATCTACTGAAAAATTTAAGATATATGTCTTCAATGCTTCATTTATAGATGATCTGAACGAATTTATACATGTAGCTATTAAAATAAGGCAGAAGTGGTATCCACAGCCGCATACAAAAAAAATCAAGTATATTAGTTACCTATTTTCAGCAATATATATATCACATTATCTTAAGAATATATATAAAAACATCATCTTATAATAAGTTTAGCTAGTAGATAAATACTACATATATAATCGCAATCAATACTGGTTATCCTAAAATCGCTAACTCAAGTAATTGTAACATCATATTTCTGAATCTACAAAACATTCTAACCATCTTCACGTTAATTTTCTTTCTTCCAAAAAAACAATTTTTAACATTAATTTATTCACTAAAATCCTAGTCTTTGTGCTTATAGTGTAAATAAGTATTATATACTACGAGACTATTACATGACTTTTTACTGGTATTATGATCATCTGTATACAAATAAATACCGAGCCAGATACGTTTAGCAAGATTTCTGGAGTTGAATGAAAGCTGTAAACCTGAACATTATTCTCCTTAAACAGTTTAAACCATTTCCGCTGAAATAATTTTCGACTTTAGTGATAAAAAAGTGACAAGAGCAATATGGTTTCATCATAACATAGGCTCACAGAAATGAAGTCATATGTAATTAACGTAATCATTGTAAGGACAATCTTAGCGTGGCAATGTCTAAAGTATATACATTTTATTGAAAAAGTTGTATTAAACATTCAGCTGCTTTAAAGATATAACATTTTCAAATGAGGTAATTTTAAATAAGATATATAAGAATACATGTACTAACTAACATCTTACCGATACATGCATTACCAAGTTGGTCATCACTATATGTAGATATTTCTTTTTGTAACTCCGTTGAAATATCATCAGAAACACGTACCAATTGATCCAAATTTCCCAACAATGAATATCGATTGGATTCAGTAACCTGATTTTGTATACACATACAATGGAGAGATAAATTACTATTTTGCTCGGTGAAAATTTGTTGAATTGACGCTAAAGTAATGATGGAGGGAATCGATTTCTTTATTTAGTAAACGAGAACTTATTCCCAATAGACGTTTATGTTTATATAAATGCTTGCGGAATTTTTAACATGGAAACCAGTAAGTGTTTATTAGATCAACAACTTGTAAAGAATTAGGCTTAATCGATCTGTGATCGGAGAGCTTCGATATGACAGATAACTGCATGGAGTTTCCACTATTGAATGTGTTCTCATCTAAACTGTAGTACTCATGACGGTTCAAATATTTTTGCGAAGGCTATCAATTTGATAATTCCTAATTTCTATTCACCTCAACGTCAAAATACAAATAAGCGGTATGTTTCACGTGATTACCACCCCTAGTCCAGTAATGAAACTTTAATCTGATAATGTTACTGTGATTCAGGTTACTGTAAAGTAAGAGACTGAAAAATAATATGCACACAAACATGTTGGTCTAACTACTGTGGTAAAAACATTTAATAACTCTATATTTTGTATGGAATTATTAATTCCATTTATGAGTACGATACAGGTTGGCACATAAACTATCATTTCGTCATATACTCATCAACTTAAGCAGTTATTTGACCAAATCATTTAAAAGTCAGTAAGCTTGATTTATTTCTCGACGATGTGGATTCTCTTTTCTATGGGAAATTGGGGTTTTCAACTTTTCGAGATTACTGTTAATTAACACATCTTTATTTCTTAGATTGTCTAAAATGAATCTAAATAATTTTTGTATACTTACATGATTTTCTGAAGTTTTTGATATTCAGACGACATTGTAGATAATCTATACTTAGTAGTTTGGTGTTGTTTTACTAAATTATCGTTTGTACTGCAGAAATATGCAAAGCTACATAACATTCCTTTCAACATCAAAATAATTATGTCAGTGTTAGTGATAACCGTTTTGTTTTCAAAATAATGTGAAGAGAGATTACGACATCACTTGTAAAGATATTTTGTATAATTTTTTTTAACTATTTCTAAATCTGATGTCCAGAACACTGAAATAAAATCAAGCGATTTAAAATGTTAATTAATGAATATTCATTATGCATTGTCATCTCTAATGACGTTTGAAATTGTAATTATTTGAAAAAGTAATAAAAAGATTGTGAATAAAACAGAGGTAAAATAAGTTGTTTATTACCGTTAAACCAACAGAATCAAATGCAGTCAAGACATTTTTCATATCTGATACAAAGTCTGCTTGTGTTTTCACTAATTCTTTTACTACATGTTTTCTTTGATTAAATGATGCTGATGATGATGTTGAAGCTGGCACGGATCCTGATATCGATACTGATGAACTTGAAGAAGCAGATGAATGAGGTTTCCTGGATTTATTAGAAACATCGTCTCCATTATTTGAAGTCTCCTCAGACGAAATGAATCCATAACTCAAATTGCAGCTTCTCATTGGTCTGTAATAAACAGTATTGTCGGAAAGTTTGCTCACAACTCTTCGACTGTCTATTGTAATAACTGGTAGATTCAAGCAAAATGAATGCGTTTTCTTTGACAGGTCTATAAAACAGTTGAATAGAACTATCTTTTAACTGAAAACTAAGATGTCACAGTAATTAAAAATAAAATTTCAAACCTATAACTTAGAACAAATATGCTAAACGCATAGGCAATCTGTGTAAAATTTTGATGTAAGCAAAATTTAATTCATATTCTAGTTATGTAACATTTCAAAAGTAGCATATATATATATATATATATATATATATATATATATATATGATTGTTTAATTAAGTTTGAAGAGAAAACATGGTTATTTCTGGTCAAATACTCCTATTTTATAAAACAATAATATTGTTAACTAATAAATTGGTTAAATATTTGAGTATTATGTAACGTTAACATTAGTAGACACCAAACTTTGAGATCAACAGACCAGATTCCGTTAGAATCAAAAGTGCATCGAAAAAGACTTGACACTGTGAATCATTGCTTAACAATCAAGTGAATAGAAATCATCACAATACATCACCTTCCTTGACTACAAGAAAGATGTTACGTGACTGTAAATAAAAACATGATTAGTTCTAGGAGATTTGATTGAATTATCTTTTGTACTTGAATGACAGCAAATTATTATGTTTGGAGATTGTCAGATGTGTCAACCGATGATTTCTAAAGTATATTTGGAACTCAAAAGAACTGTATGCATGCCAACACAAAATTCAGAATCTTCAATACGGACGTCGAGACAGTCTCGATGTACGGAGATGAGACTTAGAGAACTACCACAACCAACATCGAAGTAGTACAGATATTTATAAACAGTTGTCTACTCAAGATACTCAACGTCCGTTGGTCGGATACCATCAGCAACAATCTACTGTGTGAGAGAACGCACCAACTTCCATCTGAAGAGGAACTTGGGCAAACGCGTTGGGTGTGTATAAGACATACACTGAGGAAATCATCAGACTATGTCGTGAGGTGAGCGCTGAACTGGAATCTGGAAAACTTGGAAATTGAAAAGAGGAAGACCGAGAAACACATTGTTTCGAGAATCGGAAGCAGATATTGAAAGAATGAACGGCGACTGGAGACAGCTACAAAGGATGAGTGAGGACAGGGTTGGCTGTGGAATGCTGGTGTGCGACCTAGGTCTCTCCACGACGGTTAAGAGACGTAAGTAATTAAGTAACGTTAAGGAATAATATTTCATCATTTCAGTTGCCCAACAGACAAAATAGTAATAACACATTCTAGTAAGCAGATTTATAATGCTTAAAAATGTACAAGTACATAATACGATATCATGTAGTGTGTAGCATCTCTGAGTAGCCAACAATCTCATGTTGTCAAGTCCTATTGTCGGAATGAACTATGTCATTATGCCTTACGTTAGCGTTTTAGAATGCATGACTTGATACAAAAGTATAGTTTGTTCGATATAAATTTTTAAAATTCACTGACAATAAGCTGTGCACGCAGCTTTTATTGATCAATGGCATTCAGTATCTATGGTCTATCCGTGCAAGGTAATTCTGTACGGTACAATCCGGCATCCGCAGATACCATCTCTTCGGTTTCTAATAAAACACTGACTGTCATTTCTAAAGGAAAAGGGGAACAAACTTCATTGGAATTACAGAAAACATAGCTGGTGAAGGCTAGTCAGTGGAAAAGCTATGTCAAGAAATTTCCAGCTACGATACTTAAAGGTTACCGGTTGAAATTCATGGTTACGGTGTTTTCACTGTACTCATAAAGTTGGCTTCGATATGTGAATAGCAAAGACTTCTACAAACATGATAATTCATCCTTGAAAGTTTGTACACAAATTTTCAAAAGGTGAACTAACGTTAGTTCTATCCTATGATTCGATTATATGTTTTGTTATTAACGAACATGGTCTTTTACTTCTCATGTTACCAGTCTAGTTTTGTTAATGAATTATAAGAAAACGTAAAATCTAAATCTGACGTCTTCAGTGATCTTACAGTTTGATATGTGGCAAAACCATTCTAATAAGTTTTGATTAGACTACATCATCTAACTAACCGATATTTTGGTGATCACTGGATAGACTATAGATCTAGTGATTAAAACAACCTGCTAAAAAGTAAGTCAGCTTCTTAGAACTTTTGCCATTCACCATTCTTTTCAGGTTAATGCACTATCAATTTTTTCACTGTTCCTATCTTCATTTTTAGCAAGATTCTGTCTCTCGAAAGTAAAATGCTGGGTAACAAACAAGGATTATCCTTACTGTTAAGAACAATACAGTAATAGACTCTATCACCACTCTTATATTTTTCTGTTTTTGGTAAATATGTCATTCGATCACTGACGATAAACTTCATCTACTGATGCCTTCCAGATATGATATGTACAGTACAAATGAGAAATTAAATGTGGTATTTTGTCTAAACAACATTTTTGTAGAAAAATAGAGGTTTCAGACATCGAGATTCCATAGTACTCTAAAATTAAACATATTTGCTACGCTCAGTTACCCGTTTTTTCTATGCAGTTGGTAGCTTTGATAATCATCATCATCATCATCATCAGATATGAAGATTCACATTATATTGTTGTTAAGATTTTCAAGTTTATTACTAATGATGTCTCTAAGACTAAAATCTTCAGTCTCTTTTTGCATGGTATTTCTCTAAATAGATACCACGATATTCCCTGTAAGTATATTGTTTTCCATCCCTAAAGCATTTTGAGTGAGTAGCTGTGCACTCAGTTTTCAGTGGCAAAAAAAATTGTTCAGTGAGATGCAAATACGTCTCGTTGATTAGCCATAATTAAGATAAGACTATTTTGGGGACAAATCTGTAAGCTACACTCCTCATGGGTTTATTCAGCAACAAAGATGGTAAATAGTTAATCAATTCATTCGGGAGAGAATGCGATGCGAATTGTCCATTTACTTCACTTTAAAAATTAACAGAACCAAGTTGTGGGATGGAAAAATACACTATATGTTGTGTACAAAATAACTGTAATAGTATTTAAAGCCGAGATTGATTTTGACCAGGAACGAAATTCAGTTCAGAGTGACCTTACTGAGGATAATCAAAATATTGTGAAATACTTTATTATTATTTAAAAGAATAGTTCGCTGTTTTTATGTAACTAAATTATTATGAGATTATACAAATATCAAGTAAGAAAAACACAATAATTATTTGATATATAATCTCGGATAACTGCTAAATACCTTATTAATTTTTGCGACATTTCCAAATGTTTCTGCAAAAGGCTTTTAGTCTAGGTTATGGGGTGTCATGCAAAATGTGGTGAAATCAGTTAGCTGAGAGATCCGATTAACACTTCATGTATTGTTTAAAGATAACGCTAACAAAAATCATGAAATAATGGTTTTATAAAATATCAAACATACAATAAATTAGATAACTTTATCCTCATAACTTTAAAGTCAAAATTTTAATGTCTCCAATATGTACAACTTAAAATGATTCACTGTTATACTTCAGTTTACTCTATCTTTTTTGGCCTTTAGTGCAATATATACGTACTGAAATCTTTCATTTATGTTATCATTATGTTTAACAAAAACCCATAGAATAATCGTAAACACTAGAAACTTTATTATATTAACTACTTCACATACAAATGAATCGTCTCATTTTTACATTGTGGACCGAAGGACAACTCTATTAGCTTTGATGAACCAAAATAACCGATTGGAAAATTTCTGTTTTCTCTCTGGGTGCACTAAACTTTAGTTAGACTCTTGAGGAAATACAATGGAATTTCCTACTAGTGATATTTAAATGTTCTACATATGCTATGTAATAATAAATATCCAACCGGATTTATATTCAAAAGAAATCGTATGCAGAGGTAACAATTCTAATGTTTAGTAAGATAATGTACATCAAATAACCTTTCATGACTTATTGATAAAAGATATTCTGTTACATTATTGTATGTCCTGATTATTTTAGAAGCTTTTATGATATATTATCTGTGTGTATTTGCGTGTCCTTTTTTAATAAATGATGAGCTTTAATTTCTGAAGTACTTCTGATTAAGGCAACAACATCAGTAAGATCTCATAAGTTTTTAGTCGTTCTTTTTGTAAATTCCATCCAACTTGAATTCACAGCTTTTCTTATCCAAGCACAACCGTTTGGACGCGATAAACCGTTTACTATGTAATCGATGACAAAATCATTCATCGCTTCCACTATTTTTAGTTAATGTATAATATTTTCGAGTTTTTATGCTTAGTTCCCTAGATATTACTATACCTATCGTCTTTGTTGTTTTGTATGAGGAAAAAGTTTGATAAGGGTTTAATACTATATCGGTGAAATCTAAATAAACTTAACATATAAGAATTAGTGTTCTTCCGATAAGACGAAATCCGAGAAGTTGAATTTAGAAGGATATCTTTGTTTTCAGTAAAAAAGCACAGTGCAAATGAATGGGACAAAAGAAGTCAAGCCTTAAACCTCGTTTTCAAAATTCCATAATATACAAAACGAAAACTAAAAAACAAAAATAGAGATTCGTGAATAAATTTTAGACAGTAATAATTTGCATTATAAAGAAGACTAAAGCATGAGAAATCCGTTAAAAAGGACAGAAATACTGGAGGTTTTCTTTAGCAAAGTCTAAAACAAATAATCGCTTATATATCTTCAGAAGTTTGCATACTTAACGATTCTATTTCGTCATAAACACAACAATTGGAAACGTAAATAGAATATGTTTGTAATATCCCAATAAGTAGAAAAATTAGGTTTTCTGACGTTTCATGACTCAGTGTAAGCCACTACTTTAGAGAATAAATAACCAAACCAAAACTATTCCAAGTTTAAATAGTACAAAGGACCAAAGCAAGAATATTATGTGCGATCAATCAAAAACAGGTCTGAACAAGTTAATCTACCCAATGCTTAATTTACTCGAAATTATCAAGTCAAACCTTGGTATTGATACCTACAATCAAAAACGTATTGTATTAACTTACTAATTTCATGCTGAATTGGTTCCAGTGGAATTTGATTGTCTCTCTAAAACACATAAAAGACAGATAAGAATAAATTTTTGGTGTTTTTAGACTAGGATTAGAAGACAAATTTTTTGTCTAATCATAACAGTTTATCAAACTAAAAATCTATTCTAAAATTCGCTTTCGAACAAAACATTTACTTTTCGGATGTATTTCATGCTACAACCTAAGAAATGAAAGAGTGAAAGTAATACATCTATACACTGTTCGATTTTCCTGAAAAATCAGCATAGAGTGGGAAACGTCAGTGTAGTACGTGTTGACCCACGTAGTTAACATAATTTCCTAACTTCAGATAATATGCTCGAATAAAACACAATGTGAAAATGGAGTTTTATTCAATGGTTATTCGATAATAACACCTTATGGTACCATATATGGCTGGAAGATACTTTCAGAGTAATTATATCTAGTTAGTTCAGAGCGTATCTTCAATAATCCACATTTAAAATTACAATAGGTTTAAGCTAAAACCATAATAATCTGAATACTCTATACATTCTCACTACGATTTACGAAGAAAAGTAAAGCATGACTTATTCTATCAGATATCCTCAAAATTACTTACTATTTACTAATGGGAAATGTACTACTAGTGTTACATGTTTCCTATTTAAGAATATATATTTTATTATTTGATATCCATGTAGTAGAATGTAGGTTGTGTTTTGTCTTTTCACTGGTTGGTTATTGTTTTAGAATGTCTATAAATGTATTGGTTAGTAAATACATGTCTATGCATTTTGTTGCACCTACTGAATAATATTTCTATTATAATTTATTTTTATACTTAATTAGTTGTGGGATCTTTATTCATATGGTATACAATGGATCAGACCTGGAGAGTTTGCTTTCAGAATAAAAATATTCAACATGTAATCCACGCTAAAAGTTGTTTAACTAGCTGACATATAAATAACGAGACTGACAATAATAAAAAAACACCTATTTTGGTATTCATTACGATCATAATTTGCAAAAATCACACGATGCTATAGGCATTAAAATTATATTTTGAAAGTCTTTTAATAAGATTTATTCGATCATATTTACAGGAAACATTACTAAATCTGAAATCAAGTCGAAGAGGTATATTTTTAAAATTGAATAGATAATATTATGATAATTTTTTTATTACAAAAATCTACTGAGAATTAATACATTATTTTCACTGAGTACAGTAAATAATAATGGATGGACTCTAGCTCTCAGTAGAACTCAGGGTAAACATTTCATCTTATTTAGGACTCCTCAGCTTAATGAACATGCATCCTAGTGTTGATATTCATACTTGTACTTGAACAATTTTCCTTCCGTTATCCACATAGCTATGAGTTGAGGTAGATACTAACTTGTTGAACTATTGTTAGCATTATTATTATTATTATCATTAATGTTGAATTATTCTGGTGTTAATATTAAGGACTGGGCATTGTTCCGACTTTTCGCATATGTGAATTCTTGGTGGATTTCCTCATTATTTCATTTGAGTTTAAGTTTTAGTAAAGATGAAGTATGGCTAGCAGTGGCATTCTTGATACGCGTATTTGCTCCTCGTTAGTGCTTAATATCAGCAATTTGGAAACTCATATTTCAACGTATATATGACTTAAAAATTTTTGGACAAGCTAGTGACCATCTCAACTCAGTAGCTCAGTGGATAAGGCGTTGGGCGAAAGGCACTTATTCGAGCTTCGATATGAATGTCAACACTATAATGCATGTGCATCTAGCTGATAGGTCCCAAGTAGGAATAAATGAACCTCGAATACTTCAGTTCCATTCATTATCTAAGTCCCCTTTAGCTTAGCGGTTGTATTTATGAGAACCTACCATCATTTGAGCAATTATATAACTGTTTTTAACTACCTTAAAAATCTATAATGGAGTACACACTTTTTTTAAATAATCTAACGCAGAATCGATAAACTTCGAAACAATTATTTACACTTTCGAATATGGATTAATGGTAATGAGTTAATTAAACCCCACGGAATTTTCTAGAGAGCCCTGAAAATACATTTTATTATGTAACGAAAAGTATTATTTTAACTACTAAATGAGAAGTAAATACAAACTATTTACATTGTATTCATTTTATTTATATCTAATATCATAACTAATCTGTTCTCAGATGCACAATTTATCACTATGTCATCAATACAAAATTCGGTAATACTACTTGTAAGTGTTTGGAAGTATCATATATAAATCCTCGGTTAGTACAATAAAGCCAATGTACAGAATAAAATGGTGATAGACAAAAATGTTTAGTAATGTTTGTTCATTTTCATTACATATTCTCGAAGAATCTAAAAAATTTCAACGATCGAGGTTCTATCAGAGTTTATAAATTAGTTCTTTACTTTTTTGCTTTTGTTACTACTTATGGTGAGAAAAACACCGATTTTCATGCAGAATATTTTATAATTAACAGTTAGATTCACATAAACAAGAACTTTATGTTACACTTCGGTAGTTACCAGTTCTACGTAATATGTCAAATTTAAGGTTCCAATAATCACACTGTATTACTGCAAACTATTTAGTTAGTAATGTTTGTGTTTTGAGCTTTTTTACCACTGACTACATCTTAATATTTTAACATTTAAATTAATTTTCCAGTAGGTCAAAATAAACCAATCAATCATATGTTTTGATTGCTTATGAAAAAAATATAAAACAAGAGAGTGGTGTAACGTTGAAAAACTCATCTGTTTGATGTCATAATTGTTTTTTTCTGTTGACTTGAAAGCACATTTAGCTCAGGATGCAAGCGAATGATACTAACTTTTCAAGACGTACAAGTAAATTATACTAAAAAATATCTACCAAATTTCAATATGATAAAAACATCTACGACGAGCGATTCCTCCTAATGTAGGAGTAGGCTAGAAGAAATATAAGGCCATCCAAACCAAATCATGGTATTGGTTCATGAAGTCCTTGAACTGAGCCACCTTAATAGGTGTAGACTGCCTGGTCAAGGCCCACGTGACTATCGTGCCCAATAGTTAGAGACTTTAAATGATATAACTCAAAATCTTTTGCAATGGTGCAGGTACATCCGTCCTTTGTCTTCCCCCAAAGTTTGAGATTCTAAATTTCCCACAATTCTTTTGTATTTCAATAACCTGTTTTTTTCTCTTCAATCGTATCTTCTATGATTAATCTTCCCCATTACCACTGATGCTATTACTACCTCTATTATTCCTGGATTTGGCCTTATGACGTCATCTCTATTTGTTAATGGGATGTGGTAACTCCAACCGATGTACACACTACAGGTTCTACGTCGTGACTGACACACTAACTACAATGACGTTATTACAAATGTTAACGAAAAATGTCGTTGGTTGGTTATATCAAAAATCTGAAAATTTGTTTTTGTTTAACGATCAGTAAGAGGATGTTACAAGGCTTAGTTATTGAAAAGTAATTAAACGGCCTGATGCACAGCTTAGAACTTTTTATATTTAGTTTAATGGAAGATAAAAATAAAACACCTTTTTATCAAACGTCGCTTGATATCCAAAGCTCACTGCTTATTTTATTCAGCTGTTTTGAACGTACTCTCATAACGCATAATTTTTCAGCAAATGTTTAGTATTTTCGAATAAAGTGTTTAGCAGTTTGTTCATTAATATAGCATGCACTTCCATTACAATAACTATCTCAACCAACAGATATCTTGAAAGCCTTCGGTAAGGGTCATTGAATCTTTGATATAGTGCTATATTATAGTTTGAAGCTCCTACATCAAACTCCTATGTTGTATTTCTTGTTTAAATTCGATACAGAAAAGGTCAAAGATTATGGTAAACACTTATACACTAACCAGTGATGTTATTTTATATAGTTTGTAAAATTTATTATTATTATTCTTTTAGCCATGATATAATGCATAACTTTAAAACAGTTTTAATGTGATAAAAACAAACAAGTTTCTGATGTTAGCACTGTACATTTACATTTTACACTACAATCAGCAGATAATCTGATTGGTTGAAGAGACATGACAGCTCACATGACTGATGCTACAAATAAGCCTTCACTAAACTGCTTTCATATTATACGTGTTATGTCTATCCTATGAATTAACTATTGACACGCTTTAAACAAAGAATTGATAACTCAAAAAATTTATAACCAAGGTTTTCATTAAAAAATCGATATGTTTAGTTACCTTCATACTGTTATCTCATGATAAAAAGAATAGTAAAGTACAAATATATTTGTTGCTGTATAAAAAGAAGTCGGTTCACAACAACTCACTCGAAACGATAAACGTCTCTGTCGTTCTTCAACTGGGACAACTACAATTTAATAAATAAAAAGATAAAAAAGGGAAACATTTTAGAAAAGATGGTCTAAATAACAAAAGTGGTGATTAAAATATATTACACCGGGTACATTTGTTTATAGGTGTTCTCAAAATACCTCAGATAAGGAGCTTAATAATCCTACAGTGAATATAAATGATCTTTCTAATCACTAAACTTTATTCCAATTAAAAAATGACAGAATAATACTAAAGCTCAATAACCTACATATTTTCCAAGATATAGAAATATAGTCTGTAACTAAAGACAAGTGTTCATCTAAAGGTTATTTTCCGATCTTAAGTTCGAACTAACAAATCCTTCAGTCTTTAAAAACAGCACATCAAATGAAAGCTTGCTGGTAATATGGTTAAATTTATTAATACAGTAATAATTGTGCAAGAGTAAATACAGAAAAATGTACATGCTTATTTGTCATAAAATGTCGTCATGGAAATTGAAGTTTGCTTAAGTGATTCATAAAAATCACCGGAAAGTTATAACGTCTGTAGTTGTGCTAGTTGGCATGCACCAACTAAACGTTTACACTTACGTCATTAAATTTTACAGTAGGAAACGTTACTGCTGAACGAAATAAAGTTTTTATCATGGTAATATTCATCATATAGTGAATTTCTGACGATATAAGTAAGAAACAAGACCAAAGCTACATAGTGTCACATTATGATTAGCCACACTTTTGGATTTACGATCGGTCAAATATTAGATTCAATTTGTATTAATGACTATTATTTTTCAAGTTTGAACACAAGGAATCGACTCCATATTGATTTGGTTTTGTTAAAAAAATCTTTTTAACTAGTTAAAAATCACATGAACACACCTTTTATAATTTTGAAATTTATATAACTACTTAATTTAACGATCATCCGCGAAAAGTGATTTTTATTATGATTGAAATAATGTGACTTTTAATTAGGTATAGATTCTTTTAGCTGTTTGAGAGTAATCTCACGTGTTATAGTTGCTTATTCCTTCAGTAAACTGTCTCTTTGACTCTTTTTCTTTGTCACAATCAGCTGTTTATAAGACAGTCTGTCGATGAAACACTCAATGCTATCCTTAATTTATGGAAATGTAAATAAAAACTATTCTTTACTTCATAGGTCAAAATAAACCTATCTAGAAAGTGAAAACAAAACAGATTTCATGTACCGAATAAAAATTATTTAGATTAAGCACATACCTATAGTTCTGCCTTCGGAAGATATCATGTAACTATTTGGATCTTTGATGTCATTAGTGGTAATTAAGAAAACAAGAAAATTTCGGAAATTTCTAGACCAATCATAAATTTTTAATTTTGCATTTTAAACCCTCTTGAAGAAAATTCTGAAAGACCTAGAATGTGTTGTCCGTTATTGACCTTTATCTTTTCTTTATTCATTACATTACTGCCCACTTATTATTGTACCCTATCTCTTCAAAATTGTTTCCCAGCTAACAATACAGAAATGATGTAAAATAATAAACCAGAGTTGAAAAATATTGTTGAAAGACAATATTTATTTGTCGTTCAGTAGAACATAGTGTTACAAAACGGTTGAAGTATTTCCATCCCGTGTACTATCACTACATAATAAGCTCATGATTATCACTGAGCTAGATTCACGTCTCCAGCATAAGAAATTAGGATATACCCATAATAATACTAAAAATAATAAAACTAACAGTATAACGGTTAACTGACATAATAAATGTACCCACTGTGAAGTACAAGTAGTAATACATACATTTTAGAAAACGTAGCGTGCATAAAGTATACTGTCTTAAAAATTTCATGCAATTAGTTCCCTTTATGAATTTAAATAAAACAAGAACAAAAATTGATGCAGAATAGTATGAATTCATAATATTTCGAGGTTTCGCGTTAGCTGCTTACAACCAAATATGTAACAGAATTTTACATTGAGATAAGAAATAGTGTGAAACAATTGACATAAATTAGTGTGAATGATTGGAATAACAAAGGTTTACAATAATATATATATATATATATATGTAAGAACAGGTCAGAGGTTAATTGGTGTTAGAATTAAGGAAACAATCCAGGATGGGTGGTGCAGTAGTTGACTGGAGTTCATAAATTGTGTGGTAATTTTAGAGGTAGTGAAGGATTCATGGAATTAAATAGTGATAAGATAGGTTACGTAATAACTGAATAGAGTTTGAAAAGTTCACATAATTTAAGAGGGTAAGTGGGCGGAAATGTATGAATGAAAAGTTGGCTTAAGAATTCGGTAATGGGGGAGGAATATAACACCAAATAAATATTTTACACTAAATAAATGAATAAAATAACACAAATAACCACAAAAAATAATAAAAATAAAACAAAAATGGATTACCAGGGTAATAATAAGTTTACTACTGTCTCTTTTTGAATACATAAATCCGGTTTAAGTTTTTTTATCGCGATCACTTCAGCAAAACGGAGAGCAGTTGTATTTCTTTGTCTGCTGATAATTTTAAAAGCGTTAGGAATGTCGATGGTATGCCCGGTGTCAAGTAAATGCCGAGCTATTGCACTGTTGAGAGCCCTAGTCCCTCGCAGCCTCACGTTTCTTGGAGCATACTGTTTTAATCAAATTCCCATTTTTTATTAATACTCTAAACTATCAGTGACCCTAATATGCAACACAGAAGTTTCAGATATTGATTAATACTAAATGTTTCCAGTTGTTTAATATCTTTTAAGTGAAACAAAGTGTATATACTATCAATAGTATTGATTAACAATGTAAAGCATGCTATTTGTTCTTACTTGTGATATTATTAAAACTCCGACGCTGTTGTTTGAACGATGGGTTATGATCTCTGTCAAGATCATAGATAATTGACACATTTTTCTGTCCACTGTAACGTCTCATCACGAAGGGCTCTTTATCTGAACATTTTATGGCTAGTTACAGATTTTTGAATATTAAAAAAAACAATTTACTTTCATTTTTGTTTGTTACATGTAACATTTGACTGAGCTATTTGTGTCACCTACAATAGTTCAAAAAATATCAAGTAAATGGTAAAGAAATGTCCACTGCTTAGATAAATATAGAAAGATTCAAGGATCACTCATAAAGCTACGGAGAAACTATAAAATGTGAAATAATGGAAATCTAATAACGTGCTCAACACAAGACTTGCAACCGTTTGGAATATTCCCTCTTGAGGTTATCATTTGTCAATGAGTAGGAGACCCAAAACAGAATGAATAGTAATTCAATAATGTCATATTTCCCTTGGTTTCCAAAACTATGTTAGCATGGAATTTATCTTCGACCAACTCAAAAAAAAAATTAATAGCAGAATCAAAAAAACTTGGTTGATAATAACCTTGAGGTTCGTTTGTAATTTTTAATGAACTCATAGATACACTATTTGTATTGCTATCTGATCCATACTGTTAGTTGCAGTTATGACATTTTTAGTGCCTAGAAATGTCATGAGCTATACAAAAAATATTTATAAGTGCTTGCTCTTATTTTTTTAAAAAACAAATAGTATAAAAACTTTACAGTTCTTTTTAAAACCAACTTTATATGCTGTACACAAATAAAGGGAAATCCTCCCATTCCTTTAAATAATATTATTCCGTATCCTTTGTCCTTTCACTCATTAAGAGATGTAAGAGAATAACAACCAACACATCATTAAACCATAATAGATAACTTTCATCTGCTATTTTTACAGAGTTCTTCTTTAGACTGTGAAAATAACTTTGCTTTGTCTCATTGATTTTGTAATTACTTTTCAAAAATGCAAATATGGCTATTCTTGTAACAGTGACACTGGGTTTAAATAAATAGTACACAGCAGTTGACTGTGATTTAAAAACACCGTATGCTACTAAAGATTTTGGATAACAATGTGAGCTTTTATCGTGAGACTAGTTACAAACATTTCACATGCATCTGATTTCATATTCATCATATTCACTTTGGAATAAAGTAGTTAGTTACGTTTGTAGTATAAAATAAAAACGTCCCTAGACTTAAATAAGGCTACATTAAAGCATATTTAACTTGAATGATCTATGAAGAGAAATGAAAGAATAATGTAATGATAGAGAGCTTCGGGTTAATATCTTCAAAGCACAATGATTTAGTAATCTGCTAAAGTTTCTGAAACAACAGACGGAGCTTTAACTTTAAAACAACTGAGCAGTGTTGTGTTTAAAGGTTTATTTAAGTTTGTAATTTTCTTCTATAAGAAACGTTTGTTATATCACACAAAAATTCAATACCGATTTTGAATACTACTTACTGTTCGGGAGTAAGGTGAAAAAAATTTCGAAACTTAATTTAATCAAAAGCTAGGTTGTTTCATTTGTGATAAGAAATAGGTTAACTGATTTAGTAATAAGTATGATAGTAAATATTTAAAATATACACAAAACAAATAAACACACTAATTGATACTTGAAATTCGTTATAACATTGTGTTAATTCATATTACGTCTTTCGCTTTACATTGTGAATCACTAATGTATATGAGTATCACTAAAGACAGCATAGCATTCACTAAAACGATAGTTGAACTTATTGGTAAAATTAGTTTTAATAACTATAATTAGATCAATACATTATTGAAAAAATCAAGTATTCACATCTTACTTTTTTAAAACTCAAGTTTGTGGTCTTCAAAGTGATAGACGAATTGAGTGTAAGAAGTTGGAGAGAAATATATAAGAGCTTGAATAAACATTCTACCTCATTCTACTTCTCTTCACTATCCTACCTACTAGCAAATAAAACGATAAATCAAAGCAAGTGTGAACCGAGAAGAAACACTAGGTTTCAAGTAGATGAACTCAAATATAAATAAATAATTAGTGATAAAAGATATTGTGATGCTTTATTAAAACAATCAAAATAGTTAAACCTATCAACTTTTACTTAGGTGTCAGATAAAATGCATGCTCATCAATGCATCGACCCGTTTAAAACAATCTAGTTTTGTTAATGAATTATAAGAAAACGTAAAATCTAAATCTGACGTCTTCAGTGATCTTACAGTTTGATATGTGGCAAAACCATTCTAATAAGTTTTGATTAGACTACATCATCTAACTAACCGATATTTTGGTGATCACTGGATAGACTATAGATCTAGTGATTAAAACAACCTGCTAAAAAGTAAGTCAGCTTCTTAGAACTTTTGCCATTCACCATTCTTTTCAGGTTAATGCACTATCAATTTTTTCACTGTTCCTATCTTCATTTTTAGCAAGATTCTGTCTCTCGAAAGTAAAATGCTGGGTAACAAACAAGGATTATCCTTACTGTTAAGAACAATACAGTAATAGACTCTATCACCACTCTTATATTTTTCTGTTTTTGGTAAATATGTCATTCGATCACTGACGATAAACTTCATCTACTGATGCCTTCCAGATATGATATGTACAGTACAAATGAGAAATTAAATGTGGTATTTTGTCTAAACAACATTTTTGTAGAAAAATAGAGGTTTCAGACATCGAGATTCCATAGTACTCTAAAATCAAACATATTTGCTACGCTCAGTTACCCGTTTATTCTATGCAGTTGGTAGCTTTGATAATCATCATCATCATCATCATCAGATATGAAGATTCACATTATATTGTTGTTAAGATTTTCAAGTTTATTACTAATGATGTCTCTAAGACTAAAATCTTCAGTCTCTTTTTGCATGGTACTTCTCTAAATAGATACCACGATATTCCCTGTAAGTATATTGTTTTCCATCCCTAAAGCATTTTGAGTGAGTAGCTGTGCACTCAGTTTTCAGTGGCAAAAAAATTGTTCAGTGAGATGCAAATACGTCTCGTTGATTAGCCATAATTAAGATAAGACTATTTTGGGGACAAATCTGTAAGCTACACTCCTCATGGGTTTATTCAGCAACAAAGATGGTAAATAGTTAATCAATTCATTCGGGAGAGAAGGCGATGCGAATTGTCCATTTACTTCACTTTAAAAATTAACAGAACCAAGTTGTGGGATGGAAAAATACACTATATGTTGTGTACAAAATAACTGTAATAGTATTTTAAGTAGAGATGGATTTTGACCAGGAACGAATTCATGGACGTATGTTCCCTGTTATTTAGCACTCTTCAACAAAATGTACCTGAATTTCTCTGCTTGTTACTGTCCATATCTGTCTAGAAATACTTGTACCCTAATGTCAGTATCGAGGCAAACGATACATGATGCAAATTGTCAAAAGAGATCGATCAATTGCAGCCCTTAACATCAACAATACGTATAAATTTGATGAGTATTTGTTTGAGTTTCTGAATGTTCTCTTTACAATCGACATGATGGTTTACACGATCTTTAATTATGTATATTTCCATTTATTTAAAAGTCATTTATAATTCCCTTAAACGTGAGGTGATCAATCCTCACTGTGGAAAAGATGGGCTATTAGCTACTAATTAGTAGGGATTTAGTTCATCGAAGAAAAACATTTCGAATCATGTCGAACGTTTTTAATTCAAACATTTTTAAATAACAGTCGGTGAAAAAATGTATCAACACTTCATAAAAACAGTATTATCAAGAATACAAAACAAGCCTCTTTCATAATTTCTAATTCTTCATATCATGAGCTTCTTGCTTGTCTATATATTAGAAATCAGATCAACTTACGTTTTATGATATTAAAATAACGTTCCCAGGCCTGATAGTAAGATTCCTATATCTAAAGCTTTTTCTAGACTGTTAGTAGTTATGTAAAATTGTCAAATGGTAATCTTACTTTTATTACCATGATTCTACTCCAACAAAAGTGAATTTATCATCCACTGAGTAAAATTTTGGTATGGAGAGGATATATAATTCAAAACGTGAGCTACAAGTATTTATTAATGTCATTAAAAAGCATAAAAGTGTTATGTAGATTTTTGGTTGAATAAGTCTGAGCTTAGTTTTTAATACTCTTGTTTCTTAAAACCAACGTTCACGATTTTATTAGTTACTTAAAGAGATGATACGCTTTCAAAACGACATGTAAACTTACGTTCTAAAATCCAGCATTATTATTACAAAGACAATCAACGTATAAGTATACATAGGGAAAAGACTGATAGCCTAATTCGTTGATTTTTTGAGAATTAACCCGTGCCATATTTATCTATCCTATAGTGTTAATCAACTTCTGCCAATGCTAAGTCACTTAAGCCAGTGGTCACGTTACACATTGATCAACGGAAGTCACTTAGATAAATGAAAGATTGGTTACTACTCAGTGATTAATTAATTGCAATTATTACAGTCCTACAGGAAGTTAGTTGAGCTCCGAAAACTCCAATAGTAACATAATAAACCTTGAAGCCGGATGGTGCGGATTCGAATCTCATAACAACTAGCGGTTCCCTAAAGGGTATGTCCTGGTGATTAATCTTAGCAAGAACGAAACCCAGGTCGAGCAGGTTTTCCAGCCAACGCTCTCCAAGCATTTAACATCATAACAGACCTATAATTAGCTTGAAATCTTCATGATTTTTAAATAGCAAAACAATCTCAGCTACTGAATCAATTCTAAGTACAAGAGAAGGACTCTATATTTTTTACCTAATATGCAAAACTGCCTTTGAATAAAACGATATGGTGAAGAAGTGTACAAAAATGAAACTCAAACACTCCAAAATAATTTTCACAATATTGCAAATCTATTTTCTTATGAAACATGATGCATTCATGTAATTACCCGAGTTTTCAATTAATATTAGTGTCACTGCTAAAAATGTCTTTGTTGATTCATAGGATAGTGAATTCAGCAACAACTTCAAGTTCATCCTCATAATCTGTACACAATAATGCAAAATGTCTACATTCGGTAAAATTGAGCTAAATAACCTAGGTAAAGTACAATGACTGTTCTTACTCGTCTTACAAACCTAGAGAAAGACGAATAAAAACATTTAATTCATGTTTTGAACACGATATTAATTAATGTATTTAAAGCACATGTGAAAAAGCTCTTATTTGTTTTATTGATTGAAAAATGAAAATCCATTTTTATCAGTTCTTAAATACTCATCATGAAGTATCATTCTTTATAGTATTTTGAATAAATCAGCTGTTTTTCTCTATTCATGGAGTTAATTAAAATATAACTTAAGTCAATAGTATACTTTAAAATATCTTTTCCTTGTTCAATAAAAGGGTTACACAAAATATCACTTTTTTGAACATTTACGATTCATAGGTATTATACTGAAAAGAATTTACATATTCATCCATCAAACTTCATAAACTCTGAATTATTTTTCTTGCATGTGTTTGTCATGAAACCACATAATTTTGAAGTACTAAATAAAGTATAATTCAAAGTTTATGTGATCTCTGACGTTTCTTCATTTCCACACTGAAAGCTACTTACTTTTTAAAATGGAACGTGTAGTTGCCTGAACAACCATGACAGGGATGACATTAGGACGCAAACCATTAACAATTTGAGCTCACAAAATCGTGTACTAATTACGTTTCTGATCTTATGGGCATAACTGATTTCTATCTACATATCTGAACGTTTTGACACAAAGCCTACCACCCGATTAATTTGGCTTTTTTATCTGACTAGCTGAAATACAATGTTAAATTCTTGCCACTACTAATATCACTAAATATAAATTCGACAAACAGTTGTTGAAAGATGGAGTTGGAGCGTATAACCTGGGAATGAAGCATCAACAAACTATTTTCAAGCTTTTACAAAGAAAATTAGTTTCAAACTTAAGTAAATGCACACCATGCTGAGGAACAGTCGTAACTAAAAGAAATTTTAGATATCTAGAAACTCGCAGGAGAAAACACACCACAGTCTCCGATACTGAGAAACAAATAACATGTTTTTTGGAACATTTCGCTTTTGATATTACTTACGATTGTAGAACTTATCAAAACAACGGATAGGCAGGATCAAATTAGTCGACACTAACGGCGTCGTTTTAAATAATCCACTTCATAGCTGGCAAAAGTAACTATTTCATCAGCATATTATTCCAATTACTTGTTCTCAAAAGCTACGGATTTCAGTGAAGTGTTAAACTTACCGTTAAATTGAAAACACCAGATAACTCATCGCTAGTCTAGGTTTTATACAAATATTCAAACATTTTTTACAATGGCATCATAACACTTCTCTTGAAATCAAATTACTCTCGCATACCAAAACTACGACTGAGGCCTTCTGCGCGCCTAGATTAACTAGACGAATGTGTAGTCAGGACAGTGAACAGCTTACTACTAGCTTATTTCATGTGAATTAATCATAGAGCCAGTACCAGTCAATGATTTATCGGATTAATAGTTTTCTGTCAAAGTCGGTCCTACTAAACGCCCTTCAAACGGGAAAATCAATAGTCATTCGTGTTGAAAAACCACATCCATATGCACAGGAGAAGTACATCTAATCCCTTTTATTACCTTAACCAACCTCAATGATGATAAACCAATAGTGATTTCAACTATGGAACGACCCGATTTAACTCATGCAAATACAACTCTTTCCACTCAAATATAATCGTGTCTGTTGTTTTTTTTCATGTACCTTATTATTATTATAGATTCAACGTCTATATCAGACTACCAAACACAATAATAATTTACTAAGCACTCACGCCGCTTCTATATGTTTTATTGGATCCATATGACTTCATACACTATACACAAAACACTTGATCGAATTCGCAAGTAAATTATTATTTCCGTTATCTGATTCACATGTATTATGATCATCAATCTTACATTTTCATTCACCGTACAAGCCTATCCAAATTAAAATTGCATGTAACTCATCTCAGCATCAAAACTTAATTTAATTTCACACCCCTATATTACATACTCTAATTTTAAACGACGTATTTCGCCTTAAACCTGGCTACTTTTCGTATTAATAATTTAAATATATGGTTGGATAATCTTAAAGAAATTTACTGAAAAAATACTATATGTTCATTTATACCTGTACAAATTAACACTTGTAGGTCAAACAGTTCATTGGCCCTAAGGTTTGACTTGATGATAATTAAATAAATTGGGATTTAACTGTATGTCAAGCAACACTCTAAAGTGAGATATAACATAACTGAAATATTATACTGTATAACTGAGCCACTCTAATCGTTCTAATTTAAAAATCTCACTGTATTGCCCTCTGTTTTATACGCTAAATACTACATCCAACATTTAAACTGATCATTGATCGATTTACTACACCTGAACAAATTTTGACTTTTTCTGTGGTTAAATACTTCGACCTTCAGCTATATTTTACTTTCAACAGTTACTTCTTACTAAACTGAACCAAAATTAGTCATTGTGCAAATTATTTATAAACTAAATAATACAAAAAACATAGGCATTATGCTGCCAACCGGGATCATAATGAATTCGAAAACCCTGTCTAATGTGACCACATTTGATACTCACTTTCGTGCAATACGCTGGCAGCACATTTATATTGGTTGTTTTTTTGCTTAAAGAGTAGATGCTCATCTAAGCTCAGGTAGAGACGCAAGAACTGTCCTTATGTCTACTTAAATTCAATCATAAACGCATTTAAGTGTCCACAGGGTTTAAAATAGTCAAACGTATCTAGCATAAAAACTCGATACGTACGATAAGTAAAAATAAATGTGATAAGCTCTGACAATCCGACTTCTCAGATGATCTGACTCTGCTGTTTCATACACATCAACAAATGCAGTTCAAGACAACCAGTGTAGCATCAGCCTCTACAGCAGTTAGCCTCAACATCCATGAGGGAAAAAGCAATATCTTCAAATGCAACATGGAGAATGCCAACACAATCACACTCAAACGAGAAACTCTGGAACACGTGGCAACTCTCACATGTCTGGACAGCATCATCGATGAACAAGAAGGATCGTCAAATCAAGGGCGATATTCCTGCAACTGACGAATACATGGAACTCCAAACAACTGTATGCATCCCAACACAAAATTCAGAATCTTCAATACGAACGTCGAGACAGTCCCCATGTACGGAGATGAGACTTAGAGAACTACCACAACCAACATCGAAGTAGTACAGGTATTTATAAACAGTTGTCTACTCAAGATACTCAACGTCCGTTGGTCGGATACCATCAGCAACAATCTACTGTGTGAGAGAACGCACCAACTTCCATCTGAAGAGGAACTTGGGCAAACGCGTTGGGTGTGTATAAGACATACACTGAGGAAATCATCAGACTATGTCGTGAGGTGAGCGCTGAATTGGAATCTGGAAAACTTGGAAACTGAAAAGAGGAAGGCCGAGAAACACATTGTTTCGAGAATCGGGAGCAGATATTGAAAGAACGAACGGCGACGTTAATAAGTAGGTAAGTCTTTCACAGTCTAATTATTTGTTGGACAGATTAACAACAGAGGAAGCATGTTTGTTTAACCTCGCATACATAATTTTACTCTTTACTTGTATTAGATACAAAGTGACTAGTTGCTCATTTCTTCGTTAAAGCAGAAAATTGTCTCAAAATATGTTAATTTCTATGGTTCTTTGCGCTCTCACTTTTTATTTGAAACAATCACAAGTTCTGTTAACACTTGAAGCCATTTTGAAGACAGAAAATATTAATTCACTTGGTGTTGTTTTACTTGTATCCTTCCATTGTTATTTAGGACCGCAATTGGTGTCTCATGTTGGCATATGTTCATTCTGTGCGGATCGCCTCAATACTGGTCAATTGCAGTCCTAAATAACAATCAGAAGATACAAGTAAAACAACATCAAGTGAATTTAAATTTCACCCCACCGCACAAGTAGATTCAGTAGCTAAGTGGATAAAGCGATGGCGTTTGAATTGAACGGTACAGGGTTCGAGTCTCGGAGTGAATATCAACTCTGTGATGCGGGTATATCCAGTTTACCGGTCCTAAAAAGGATAAAACGCGCTTCCTGGGTTTCATGGCTAAACTCTATCCATCTTCACGTAGAAAATATAGTTTAATTAACATCTGTCCTGTAATAACAAAGAGATTTTTAAAACCAGGTTAAATTAACTTTGAAAAACTGTAAAAATGTTACATTTAATAGCATTTTGACCTTAAGGAGTTCAAAAATTCCGAGCTTCTTAATCTTGGGTTTACCTATCGCAGGCATATATATATATATATTTCCATTAAACCATTGAGATTTCCATTTGCATTTTATGTCATCAGAGTGCA